CGAGTAGACGATGATAGTCGATGGGCTTGTACTGCATTTGAAGGCGTTCTTTTGTGCTAGCGGCGTTGTATCTGATTCGCGAACTTGAGGGGAAGCTTTTTCTTTGCACTTTCGCTAGACTTGGGATATGGATATGAGTAGGGTTATGAGGGATTGATGAGGGAAGGGAAGGGAATTAAAAGGGGTTTGGGAACTTTATACCTACATACATATGCGTTATCTGATTAGATGAATTTGGAGATTTTTATTGTTACAGGGTTTTAATTGAAGGGGGATAAGTTGTGAGTGTTTTAAGTTGTTTGAATATCTCAAGTGTTTCTAATATCTCAAACTTTTTGAATGTTTTAAGTTGTTTGGATATCTCACACTATTCGAAATAATGAGTTCACTCGGATCAATGAACCATTCGCAATCATTACAACTATCTACTCTTCAGAGTTTGAATAAAAGACTTTTGGAAAGTGACATCTGTAAATATCACTCCTTCATTCGAATTGTGTAAAGCAAGAAGTGGATTGAGATAAATTTTGGTTGGATCTGGGTTTGGGATGCTGGAGTGGTGGTGGAGTGGTGGTTTTATAATGGATGAATGAATGGATGGGTGTTTCTTTTCCTTTTTGTTTGTAGAGGGGTTTGTTTGGTGGTGGTGTTGGAGTTGAGTGTTGGATGGGGGAGGGGATAGAGGGGGAGGGAGGAGGGAGGTGACTTGGGAGTGGATGTTGGGGAATGGTTTGTGTGGATAGGGATAGGATAGGATAGGATAGGATAGGTTTGTGTTGAGGGGATGGACGGGGAGATTAGTGGGTGGATGGGTGGGAGAAGATATGAGTAGATTATTTTTTATGTGTGGAGGTTTTATGTGTGGATGTTTGGATGTGTGGATGTATGTATGTGGATAGACTGACTAGGTTGGAACTTTAATGGGAGATGGGGATGGGGAAGTGATAGGTGTGTCAGATTGGGATTGGGTGTGAGATATGGAGGAGAGGTGAGGGAAGGGATTGAGAGAAGGGGGGAGGGGGGGATTGAGATGGGAGGTTTTGGAAGGGACAAGAATTGGTGGGAGGGAAGATTGGTGGGTAGATGAGCGTGTTTGGTGGTTTGGTTGTATTGAGTATGAGTATGAGTATAAGAATGAGAATAAGTATGGGATGGAGTTTATTTAGTTGGTTAGAGATCAGAGGGGGAAAAGGGTCACAGAGAAGAGAGGGAAAGAGGATTCTATGATGGAATGGGATAGGATGGGTGGAGTTGTATGTGGATAGATAGATAGATGGATGGATGGATGGATGGAAGAGTAAAGTTCTTCATTGTAGATTTTGGGTTAGAAATTGGGTTGTGTGAGGGGGAGGGAGAGGGTTATGTGTAAATGCAAAGTGGATGATATGACATGTGTATGTGTATGTGTGTATGGTTAAGTGTGTGTGGAGAAGTGCTTTTGTTAGGGATGTGAGGTGAGGTGAGTTGTGAGTTGTGAGTTGTAGAAGCATGGTATCGGGGGTGTGGGATGAGGTGAAGTGAGATAAGATGGGATGGATTTGATTTTGATTGTGGTAAAACAAGAGCCACGGGAGGAATATGTCTAGTCAATGTATAAAGAACAACGAAGAGTACTTCTCGCCATGAGTTCAAGAAATCAGATCCGTGAGGTGATTGTCTTATCAAACCATAAACAATCATTTCCATCCACCCATCACATATCAATTTATCCATCCACCCCTCCAGTCCCTCTATCAAACCATTCATTCACAAACACGCATATGTCATCTGGTGCATCGCTCGCTCACGCACTTCTCCAATAGGCAGTTCGTCCACCCAATAGAAATACTCGGGAATATTATTCATCGATTCGGAATAATACTACCTAGATAGATATCCATGTTCTTCTCCCATTACATTCACAAGTGGTGGGTGCATGAGGATTACGCACACTCGTACGCTTTACTACGGCGTAGATACTACATATACCCCCCCCCCCCCCTTCTTTTTTCTCCTATCGAGAAAACCTAGGATTTATACCTCCCACAATTTTTATTTATTCACCCCAGTCACATCCTAGTGCTATATATGCACGGAGTATATTCTTGATTCATGGACACTGAATGAATGGCGCATGGTAGAAGGATTAGTCGAAGCTGCTTGCTCGTTTATATCTAGCTCGTCTAAATATTTAGGAAGGTAGGCTTGAGGTGAAATAATAGGATCACATATGTGTATGCGTGTATGTAATATTAATCTCATGGTTTTTGTAGGGGGCTTGTCAGCCAACCAAGGGAGATTCGTAGGCATGCCTACGCAATTGTATTGTGAAGCTTGCATGCAAGAATACGGATTTGCTGGGAGGTAGGGTAGTAATAGGAAGAATGCTTTTCTCGAAATATCATGGTGGGTTGGAATTAGATGGTGTGGGATTGACTGTTGGGTTACACTTACATGTAGATTCGGGGGATTTTGGAGGGGAAGAATCAAAGCGAAGTATGAGTACGGCACGGAAGGTCAGGATAATTATGGTTGTTTTGACTACAAAGTGTTTGTTCGTATGTGTAGATAGGTGTAGGTAAGTGCCTTGTCAAGAGTTTGAAATGGTGAAAATAAAGGAAATTGTTCAAAATCATGATGTTGTTACTTTGATCGGCGAATTTCCTGATCGTTTAAGTGGAGAGAATGTGTCGGATCTGTAAGTGGATTCTTCCCCGCGTTGTGGACTCCACTGAAGACGCTAATTGTCGAGAGACGGCACGGTATACTACCTACTCTTTGAACCCTAAAGTAAGTTGCGGACCGGGCCTTGGAAGTCAGCGTGTACTGTGTATGGTGTGTTAGATAAAAAGAAATAGAGGGTCTGCAGTACTCGACTACTTCGTAACATGTATGGAGTCATTCATCGTTTGTCTCATTTTGCAACAATCGTCTAAAGACCAAAGATTAACCATGATATATTTCTTTATATTCGAATATATTATGCAACATTCCGATGTTTCTCTTATGCAAAGACGCAGTAGTATTATTGCGTAACTATTGCGCAAGATACAGTACCATCACATCATTGAGACTCTACTGCCTAACATTTCAGCAGCTCCTGAAGTGCACAGCGTAAATAGTTCCGGTACTTAGAGACTGTTTAACGCTGCATCTACACCCAAATCACTCATGAGGTACCCGACGGAAGGCGGATCATCCACCCTAAGAACTATAATGTCATTTCGTCAAATAGTATACCCCAGCTCCATGCAAAGTTTCGGACAGGTAAGCTGACAACTGTACGCTACACGCAGACTACTACATAATCTCGAGTCAATACCAGATGCTGAGCTGAATTTTCCTTGACATTTATTCATGAGTATTAAATGGCTGAGGTTTTCAATACTCGCTAGGTGGATTGTAACACTGCAATGGTATCTGATCAAATTTCTAGGTAGAAGTCTTCTGGAAGTATAGAATGCACCTGTAGTAGTACGGAGCTGAAATCCTTAATGCCGTTACTTACCAGATGCACACGAAGAAACCAGATGTCAATCAAAGCCGTACGTGTACAATAACGGCCGTAACGATGCCATTTTGTGGTACGCACATTTCATCCTCTCATTTTGAAATCCACGCCCTGTTATTCGCCCTAGAAGATTTCCCCATACCCCCAGCTAAGAACATTTGCACCCTTGAAATCAGAAAAAATGGCTCAGACTTTTATTATTATTAAATAACTAGGTAAGAGCCCAACTAGCTAACAATACACCCTGAAAGTGGATATGGACGAGACCCGGACCCGCAAAGTCAACTTATTTTGGGGTCAAGTCCGTAAGCGAACACTCGGAGCAATAATTAGAGGGCTGCGGGATTTAGACCCCATGAAGCCGTTAGCGTGGATCCTGGGGAGTTTGGTACTTGAGTCTGGTAGAAGTAATATATGGTATGATGTCTGGTATGAGATAATTCGGTAATGAGATGAAATTTGTAAATGTATGAAGGCTGAGAAACAAATTAGTCTGGACTGGCTAGAGCAGGGAAAGTCTTATAGGATATCGAGATCTAGACTTAGATCTAGACCTGGACTCAAAAGTTTACACCAACGACTCACAAGAAAGCCAGCAACCAAAAATCCCCATGAAAAAGGATAAATCAACAGCATACGAGTCCGCGAAACATCCTATATTGCCAAATTCAAGGTGGCGCACTAGGAGCACAACTCACCCAGTAAGCTGTCAAAACAATTTACACATGCCCTATTCTCAGGAACGAAAGAATTTCGTGTAAGGTACGCTGCGTGTGTTAAGGAGTTTGCATCTCGTTTACTGACATGTGCACTTTAATTCTATCAGAGACATTGAGAACGAAACGGGAAACAAACTGTTGGTGTCTCAACTTAAAGCCTTGAGGCTATGTGAGCGGATGCGCTGTGGCTTTATAAACGGTTTTGGAATTCGATTGTGTTACATGGATGATGAATTGATGACACCGTATTGTCATGGATGATGGGTATTGTCAACAGGAGCTAATTATATAGATGGATAGATCAATGTGGCACGAATCGCCGCCGTGATCGTGAAGTGTACAATGCCTATGTTGGCGACTGGGTGCCAAATTTAGTGGGAGTGCTTGTTTTAAGAACTGTGAGACAATCAATGCTTGTTCCTACGTGCTTCGAGGTGTTTGGGAATCATCTAGGTCTGTGTTGTGGGGGTGTTTGATTATCTTGATGTTGATTGTGATGCTGTACAAGATAAGATGTACAATACAAATTTTAGATAGACAAATAGAGCTTTTTTTTTCCGTGGCCAACTTTTCATAGACAACCCATCCCGTTGATTCTCCATGTCCTATCCGTAGAAAATTCATAGCTTCCTGAGTAAACTAAACAGAATAATACTATATCCAACTCCTTTTCAAAATTTTCCACATAATTCCCATCATCGCTCCATCCCACCGATTAAATATTTACACATAAATGTACATCGCACTGTCATACAATCAGATCTTATTAACTCCTCTTCTCTCATCTTGCCTCAGATACTTTCAACTTCCGCGCTCCTTAAACTTCGATTCGTTTGTGATCGGCTGGTGCTTAATTCCACCATACTTTCTGTCTCCTTCGTTCCTCCGCGATGAATACCAGTCATAGGACGATCCATCATACGAAATCCTTCGGTTTTTCTATGTTGTTTGGAAGGACCGCGGAGATCGGCCCATACACTGCGACAGATCCCTAGAGAAGTGGTGAAATAGATAACGGTGTTCCACTATTTCATGTTAGTTACTCATATATCTTGAATTTTGGTGAAATAGGGGCAATGTACAAATCCTTGCAAAGGAAGAACAATCGCAGAACCTATATTCAACACGAATGATGGTTTATCTGGAAATCTCAACCCATATACTCGGTTCACCGAAGCGGGAACCCAAGTTATCAAAATGGAAATACAGAAAAGCATAGCGACTTTCGTGTAGGCCCACTTGATCTTATCCAAACTACTTGCATTTCTCCTAGCTCCGCCTCGCCCACTCGATGTAGTTGTATTCGGTACGGCGGAAATAGTGACACGGTAATTGCTTTCTGGATCTTTGGCAGGAGTTCTCAAATGATTCACGTCTGAAGCACGAGGATATCGCGGAGTGGTGTTTGTATTGAGAGCCGTTCCATTTTCCCACGAGCCGTGTGTCACTTCGATTTCGGTGGTTCGGGTTCCGGTGAAAATTGGCTGTTCATGCTCACTTTCGTAGTCCTTGTTTGTGGCTTCCGATGCATTGGTTATGCTGCCTTGAGGAGGAAGTGGTGATTTGCCTCCGGCGTCTGTATGTAGTGATGGGTCGGTTCGGTGGGATACTCCATTGAGTTGATTGCGAGCGCGGAAGATCTCAATCCCAACGCGGACGTAGATACATAGTGCGGCGAGAATGGTAATCCAAATTGGTGCGTAGTAGCTGTAAATACGGAGAGGTGCCCATGGACCGTCAATCCAACACCAAAGCTGTATTTCGTAAGTCAATTGATTGAAGAGATATAGAGCATTTGAGGGGATGATTGTTTAGAGAGATGTAGAATATTTGAGGAACGTGATTGTTTGAAGAGATATAGACCATGTGAGGAACGAAAAATTTCCATACCGTTGCGTTTCCATAGATCTTTCCTTTCTCATTGTTTTTGACAAATAGACAGACCATCGCTGGAATGAAGGGGAGGCCATAGCATATCAATGCATAATAAGGATATAATTTCTTCAGTTGAGCAGCATCAAATCGGTAGAAGAAGACAAGGTAGACATTTGTAGCCATTGCTAAACTCCACCACGGATCGCTTTGCATGAACCTTTTACTTCATCAGTGACGGTAGAATCAAAAGAACAAGAAGAAATTTCATACATCTCCAACAAGAAACCTTGAAATTGACATAGCGGCGAGTTAACTTGTGATAGCGCGGAACCTCCAATAAGCGCAGCAACGTTGGCAAATAGATTTGCAAAAGATGCGTAAAAGATGATTGTATTTGACAATGTTCTGAACGATTTGAAAAAGATGAACGTAGCAAACAGAGCAAGTGTTCCCAACACCGATATCGATGCCGTGGTACGCTCGATGATGATTAAGATATCAACCTCCCTTTGGGATAGTTGGCCCATGATGAGAACTAGCTAGCAGATGTGGGGAAACTAGAGATCTTGTGGACGGGAAGGAAAAAAGAAATGCTTGGGGAAGAAAAATATGGAGATTTCCTCATCTATGTATGTATGTCAGCAAGACAATCATAAGGAGAGTACGAAAGTACAAGATCGCGTCAAATAATAGGATGTGAGCAGACGAAAGAGGAAGTGATCCATATTGGAGCAGTTCAAAAAAGATACCTAGAGGATTGGAATACATACAGGAAACGAAAAGAGACGTGAATATAGTTCATGGCGTTTGATAATGCATGGTTGATGCAGCGGAGATGCTGACCTATTGAAGGAATGATTGAGAGAGACGAATAGAATAGATGAAAGATAATCTAATCAGTGACTTAACGAATATATCTCTTCGCACCTGTACTCCTACCTTAACTTGCTGCTTTCTTTCTCTATCATCCCGTGCCTGATGGTAATGAAACGCCACAAAAAATTGCTTCCGGGCAAATATTAAAGCCTGAATGTAATGTACACTACTTGCGACATATGTAGTGGTAAGAGTAATCAGTAAGTAATCCTGCGTGGTCAGCGAATGAGGTAGGAGTGAGGTTACTTCAACCATGTCCCATGGACCACGGGGCAACACAAACCCCTACCCTCTCCTAATCTCAATCTAATCTCTCAGAATTTCTGGAAGAATCACATCGTTCATTATGCAGATACTGAGCCGTTAAATCACTTCATGTGAAAAGTCATGGGAATGAAAACACGCATCAGTACAGATCCGCCTCGCCTGTGATGTGTTCGGGAACAACTAGGCTCCCCCGAATATCCCCACTAATAATCGTCCACCACCCCCAATTGTTTCTCAATGCTTGTTTACTTAAAATATTTTAAAAAATGGATAATCTCCTAGCCTGGGTAAGCACTCTTTCAAACATAATACCGAAATGAATCTTTCGCGGGGATGCGAATATCTGGGGTAGCACAACAAGGATTGACGCCTCGAATTGGAAGTGGTGTTGCTACCTCTTATGGTAAGTGCTGAGCGGAAGTCACTAGCGTTGGGGTTAGTTTGGACAAGCAGGAATCAAGCTAATGCACCTAACATGGCTGTCGTGTTACAGGTCAGACGCGGTGTAATGGATCCATACAGTACTCGGCTGGAAAAAGCTTGCTTACATGTTGGTCCTGTCGGACATGGTTTTACGCGATTAGGCTAATCAGAATGTCCATTTGTTATTTGTAATTTGACAGCTGAATGGATGCGAGAGATAATGGTATTTGATTGATAGCCAAATTAGCGGGTCAAATACTCCAGTAGAAGAGAGTGGAAGCTTTTTTAACTCGCAATTTGCATATGACACTTAACGTTGGCTTGCGTAACCATGTATAGTATTAACGGTACAAAACAAAGTTAGATCTAAGGGCTATGCTCCTAGCAGAATGAAAGGACAGAGTAAGCAATTACACAGAAACTAATAAGAAATCGACCTTTTAATATCCTCCCATAGTATCTGCATCCATCCAGGTATCAAATTTTTTAAAGGGTGTACAAGAAGTCAGGACGATTGTCACCCAACTTCTCGGCTTCCTTCTCCGTCATTCCTGCAACCAAATGATCTCTCTTTCCGGCCAATCTAGCTGCATTCTCTCTGCGTAACAAGAGATGCATTGCTACACTACCACCAAATAGGCAGACAATCATGTAAGCCATGACAGTCGCATGGCCTACGGTGAATTTCGGCGCCTTGTAGTAGATGTTACTGCTAACAATACCGTTGAGATTTCCCCATCCAATGACGAATCCGAGAACGATACCACGCTTGTAAACGCCCTCAGTATTGTTGCTAACCCATGAAATAGTGTTTGCAATACAGGGATAGATACCAAGAGCACCCAAGAATGTACCTGCATACTTGACGTGTGGTGCTTGTGATCCAAGTTGCAGACCGAATCCAATAACACCTAGGAGTGAGGTACAAATGTTGAAGATTCCGCGACGCTTAGTACGATCGGCAGCGAAACCAACAAGAATTGTGAGGACTGCAGCGCAGGCGTAAGGAGGAACCGAAAGTAATTGTGCGCGAGTAGTTTTATATCCCATCTCGGCAACCTAAATTGAAGAGTCAGTATTACCTATCAGATATAAAATTCAAAGGCAAAAGAAGAAATTGAGTATTGATAATGTCTGAGAAGAGATTAGAGAATATGGGATGGAGTGAAAAAAGTGGAGGTTGGGTTTGGGGAAGAGAAGGTGGTGGAGGCCAGTCTCAGTCTAATTGTTCCTCTTTCTACAGAGCCAAGCAAATATTATCACAACAGACTACTGTGCTTGAAATTTGGAGGTTTTGAAGAAGCTTGGACCATATAAGAGCCTTGCACGAGCGTTTGAAGAAGGATATGGTCTGAGTCTTCAAAATGAAGAAAACACCTCAAAATGGGGCGGCGGCAACAATGAAGGTATTAGTGAACGGATTGAACTTACAATAGTTGGGAGAAAGAGAGAGAAAGCATATAATGGCATATCACAGCCCATATATATGAACTTCGGTTTTGTATTAGTTATAGGTTTCTTTAAAAAAAATCCGGATTTTTTGGAGGTAGGGGAAAAAAAGGGGGGGGGATATCTTACCATACCCAACCACATCTTGTAATCTTTCACAGCAGCCCAGAAATATTCCATCTTGAACTCCTCATGCTCAGCACTTGATTGTTTATCCATCTTAAGTCTGCGAATGACTCGGGCACGATCTTGCTCCGAAAGGAAGGTGGCGGTATCGGGGAAGTCATGAACAAAGAAAAAGGATAGAAGACCGAATCCAACCGTAATGACACCCTCAATGATGAAGATCCATGCCCAGCCTGGTCTTCCTCCTAATCCATCCAAGTTTGCAATGGCTGCAGCAAGAAGTCCTCCAAAAGATCCGGAAAACGCGGCAGCAGAGAAGAAGATAGCCTGAACCGTTAGACGAGGAAAAGCAGAAAAGTAATGTATGAAGACTTACTGCGCGAACACCAAATTCATCACGCTTGTACCAACATGAGAGAAAGTAGTTTACACCAGGGTATAGGCCAGCTTCAGCCATACCTAAGAACCATCTAGCTGTCATAAGGCCTTTAAACCCCACCGAATTAGCATCGCCGGACAAAGACTGCAAGAAGTATGAGACTTCTACATACCGGACCAATTCTTAACATATCCCATTGACAACATAGCAACACCCCAGATAGTCCTAGATGATATTAGACAATGAATTTCGCCGGGGAAGATTGACATACATGATTATCGGGATGAAAATAGATGGGCGAAGGCGTTTCAAAAGAACATTGGTCAATGGTTCAAAGATCGAGTACGAAATGAAGAACATCGAAAGAGCTGCATTGTATCGCCCAGTTGACATCTTGTGCAAGTCTTTTTGGAGCCCATCGATCTTCGCATTTCCAATGTTCGTTCTGTCCAAGAAAGCAAGGAGGTAAAGTATACAAAGCTATTTCAAAATTAGCATTTAGATTGAGAAGGGACTCTATTGTTGCAAACGTACCCAAGGAATCAAATACAAGTCCAATTTCCAGACAAGTTTTCGGTCGATGGCCTTGCGCTCTGCATCTGAAAGGTGCGCATCAGGGTCCGTCGGGAGGTTAGAGTGAATTGCTGCAGAAGCAACCACCTTTTCCTCGTCACTGGTGCTGCCAGTTCTTGCATGTCCATCGGACTCCATGATAAACAAAAATTATTATGTACTGACGGAAAAATGAAGAAAAAGGAAGTTGAAGAAAAGAACTTTGTAAGAACAAAAGTAACGGAAGAAAGGGTCCTGGACACTCGTGTGTATTTAAATTCGACCTGTGGCTCAGCATGGGAAGCTGCGGCGAGTGATTGAATGTCGATTAGACAGGTGTAACTATAGAATTATGCAGTCGAATTTCGAATTTCCTTCTCTGTGCTATGTTACTTTACGTCGATGCAGGTATCAAGGGTATTTTTGCTCGGGAAATAGTCCAGGGTAAGTTAGAAACCCGTACAGGTGCCAGATTAAGTTTTCTAAAGGCTGTTGGATTGAAGCCGTATTGGTCCCAGAGACCCCTCCCTTGAAATGGTGAATCCAATGATACCCTTGAGGGAAGGCTACCAGATTTGGACATGTGCAGCTAACCACTTTATCTTACGCATGAAAATTTCGTGGCATCCCTGAATAATCATTAAGCCACCAACAGTTTTGAATCTAGATGTGAATCAATGACACAAAGACAGGTATCACAGGATTCACCTGGCATTTTTTCACCTATAGAGTTAGGTGGTATTATATATATCCTAGAAGATGAGCTGTTCGTAACAAAGTCTGGCCTCACAAGAAGTACCGACAGTATGGTAACCACTCGGTCTTGAGGTCGTTTTATATTGATATGAATGATGATCGATCACATACCAATAATGCTTCAGAAAGGGTGAATACAATCAAATGACAACGACAGGACAGGCAGAAAATTAAGGGGATCGACCAGAGACGGCCCAACAAAGGCGGCCCATTACTTGCGGCTGTACAATTGTTTGAAAAATCTCCACGAATTTGATCGGGTCATCAATCTACCTATGTCTATATTTATGATTTGGTTGGTATGGTGTGGTTGTACAAGAACGTCTCAATGTTGATCTGTGGTTGCGCCGATGAAGAAATCGGAGACGGGAAAAAGGAAGATGGGAAAGAATAACAAGAGATCTGATTTCAAACTACCAAACGGTGTCCAATAGGATAACATAATTTATTAACAATTTTGCCTGAAATCCTTTGGTGGAAATGAAGAAGGTAATCCTTGGCTCCCGCATCATTCGAGTAAGCTTTTTTTCACGCTCCGCACACATGCTAACCGAAAGGTTTTCGACTAGCGGAGTAAGGGGCACTAGGGACTTCTCCCGGAGCTAAAAACTAAAGAATGCACTCCCTTTGATATTCGATATCAACCCTCATAATCAGTATTTCGAATTGAAAATTTACTTAGAAACCTCGGAAAGCCTTTGAATTATTATAATCTTGGGCTTTACTGATATTTTTCTCTATTTGAAACCGAAACATCGGTCTTCTTAATGGATAGGAAGGGTTGTGCAGGGGGTTTCGTCAATGTAGAGGGGTGTGGGAATAATATTCTACCCCGGAAATTCAAACTTGGCTCGCTGGGGTATCAAGATTCAGGCTTGAGTTGGGGTACTGGGGTGTCAGGGTGTGTGTATAGAAACCATCGAAATCACGTGAGTCTAATTCGATCTGAAATATGCGAGGCACCGAAATCTGAAGTTCAATTTCAAAAATCATTCATCCACATTTTACTGCAGCACACTTTGATTTGTGTTTAAATTTCAATACCTTCCCCATATGTCTATCACCCCCCGAGTACATCGCAAATCTTTCCTAGGAAGATACAGACGACAGAAGTACACGCGGACGTTTTTCCTCCAGAAAAATTGACGTCCTCTCTGCATACAGAAAGTGGACTTTTTTCCAATCAAGCATGGACTCCGATCCACAATGGTATATAACCTGGGGAATCAACATCAACAGTGGGTCGATACGGTTATAATCGCTCTGGTTGAGGAAAGACCTCCGCCATGTCCAATGTCTGCCCTAAACACAAAATCTGTCTGGTGAGTTGATCAATCTGCGCGTTTTCAAAGTTATCGAGGTCACCAGTGGGTGTACGGACTGATGGGACACTGCAAAAATGGATTTGTGAATATTTCTTGATAAGTTAAATTATTTATCTTAGGAATTGTTACAGTTCTTGATTAAAGATGGTACCATCAAAATTTGAATTCTGATCTCAAAAAATTGAAAAATGAATTTGCTAAGAATATCGAAAGTTGGGAAGTGTCCCGTCAATTCATGCACCCACTGGTGGGCTGATCAAACTAATGCCGTCCCTAAACGGCACTTTTTGTCGGCATAATAAGTTCCCTCTATGTCTATGTTATCTAAGTCTATTGGGCACAAATACACATCGCTTATTCATTAAAATTTCGTCCGTTCATTACGAGTAGTCACAATATCTGTTTCGTATGACAATTTCAGACCTTTGCCACCCTCCATGACCCTGTCAAGAACTTCTGATCCTTCAACTTTCCTTCCTCGCCAACTTCAAGAATACCAATGTCAGTTCCCTCGGAATTCACCAGCCTGGCCTTTGCCCCCTTAGTAGTGTTGTATAGACGAACTTCAACGTCTTGAGCATAGTCATACACAGTCTTATTTTGATCTGATTTTCCAAGTACAAGCACTGTATTTTCGCGGACGTATAATGGTAGGGTGTCGAACGCATGGTTTTCTTTGAACCACCCAGGTCCACTCTTCACTTCGTTGGTGAAGAAGTTCGTCCATCTACCCTTTGGGAGGTAGAATTCAACATCTCCGGATTCTTCAAAAATTGGGGCTACGAGTAAGCTATCTCCAAACATAAATTGTCGGTCGAGATACCATGAGGTTGGGTCATCGGGGAACTCTAAGCACATAGCTCGAAGTGAAAGAGGTACACCAAGCTCAACAGCTTCTTGAGCTTGCGAGAAGATATATGGCATAAGCCTTGCTTTCAATGCCGTCCACTTTGAAAGGACCTTGGAGCATCCTTGATCCGATTTGTCGTCCTCGTCCACGGTCCATGGTACACGGAAAGAATTGCTACCATGGAGTCTGCTGTGAGAACAAAGGAGACCAAAAGCAACCCAACGTTTGTAGATCCAAGGAGGAGGATAGCCCTCAAAACCACCAATGTCAACTGACCAAAAGGCAAAACCAGAAAGTCCTAGCGACAGACCTCCTCGAACTGACTCAGCCATAGCTTCAGCAGTAGATTCGCAATCACCGCCCCATTGCAATGGGAAACGTTGAGTTCCAGCAGTAGCAGTACGTGCGAAGAGAACGGCTTCATCCTTTCCATATCGGTCTTGCAATGCCTCATAGACAATTTTGTTGTATAAGAATGCATAGTAGTTATGCATCTTTCTTGGATCGAGGGATGAATCAAACCATTGAACATCCTTAGATGGGATGCGCTCTCCGAAATCTGTCTTGATCGAATCCACTCCCTTGTCGAATAGACCCTTCAAGCAGCCTACATACCATTCTGTAGCCTCGGGATTGGTGAAATCGATGATTCCCATTCCAGTTTGCCACAGATCCCACTGGAAAACATCACCGTTCTTACGTTTGAGTAAATAACCTTTACTTGCGGCGTATTTAAAGACGGGAGATGCTTGACCGAGATATGGATTCACCCAAACGCAAACCTTCTTGACAAGTCCTGTCAGATGTTAGCGGAGTCTGGCGCGTATCAATTGTACAGAACTTACCAGATTCTTTGAGTCGAGAAATTTGAGCTTTTGGGTCTGGAAACATCTCAGAGTCAAACTCAAAATCACACCAATGAAATGCCTTCATCCAAAAACAATCAAAGTGGAATACTTCCACTGGAATATCTCGTGCACTCATCCCTTCGAGGAATGAATTCACAGTCTTTTCGTCGTAATTTGTGGTAAAACTAGTGCTCAACCAAAGTCCGAAACTCCAACTTGGTACCTTTCCTGGCTTTCCGGTCAAGATTGAATACTTTGTCAAAACCTCTTTTGGTGTTGGTCCATAAATAATGTACCTTCGACAGTCAATATTTGATACTCATTGGAGATCTAGTACAAGGTACATACCACTTTAGTCTCTGGCCTTCCACACTGGTCTGGACTCTGCAGCATCTCTCGCTTCCAATTTCCAGATCCACTTTATCAGGTGTATCGATGAATACACCATATCCTCGAGAACTCATCCAAAATGGTACATTCTGACGTCTCGTTAGTATCACTCACAGATTCAAACGAGGCAAAACTAACTTTGTAAGCTTGGTCGCTCGAAGTTCCTCCGTCTGCGTTCCAAAGCTCAACAGACTGGCCAACCTTATTGAATGCTCCAAATCTCTCTCCTAAACCATATACGGATTCTCCCACTGAGAGTGTCGATTGAGTGAAAATATAATGTTCAAAATCCCTCATATCTGCGATCTGCATCGGGTTGCTAGTCGCCGGACTATATGCTAAGCCAACACTCCGATTGAGTAAGGATGTGAGTTCTTTCGAGCCATCTGTAGCATGAAATCGGATTTCGAAATCATGATTGCCAGTTTTCACGGTCGCCGATAATGATCCGGACTTGAGAGTGGTTGACTTCTCTGTTTTCGCAATTTCGACTTGACTGTCCTCTGGCTTTCCTTCTGGAAATAAATCGAAATGAGGCCCTGGATTGAGAGCACCCAAAAAGTGTGTGGTTTCGACGGAGATCACTCCATCAAATGGAGCCTCTACATCCTTTTGAAGATCAATATGTATTTTATACTTACTAACTGGATTGACTTACAATTGTCAAGGTACTCAAGTTCAATGAATCTGACCTAGCAAATATCTTTCTGGTTGGGCATAGCAAACTCAATGCTTTGCCATCCTCACGTTCCGTAATAGCATATACCTCTTCAGCGTATTCCAGTCGTTTCCCCTCCGCTGGCAACCACATTCCATCTCTGAACTTCATCCTGAGAACTTCTATTGTAATCTTTTAAGTCAAATGATTACTTTGTGATTTTCAACTTGAGAACCAATCTTCGAAGTTGAGCAAAAACAAAGTTTACAGTCAATTCAATCTTATTAAAAGTTCATCTACACAGCTAACTATCAAACATGTTATTTCATCAAAACACCCCACTTGCCAATGATTAATTCTGGGTCGTCTTTACTTTTGGCTAAATGCAATTTTCGCCAAGGGCTCCGATACGTTGATTTAGTGAGGGGTAGCTCTATTTATCCGCCCATACCCGCCCCGCCTTGCATATCCACACCGGATGAAGAAGTCGAGATTGGATTTTCGCACGAATATTGTTCCGGAAGGACATCCACCGCAGTTTTGGAGAGCTTCCACGAGTTAAGTTTGAGAATCAATTAAGATCCTGATTTTCAAATCCTTTCCACATATTCATCCCCACGTATCACGAGCTGTTATACGAGTGTCTAAGGCTGCAGGTCGAAACCAAGACTTATTTGCGGGGGGCGGGGGATCAATTATCCTAGATTCAGCTACCTTTGCCTCGGGTTGGATCCAGACTGGTTGGCTTCAACCCATGAACCAAGATCATGTCTTTCCCCACAACTCACCCCGACAAAAGTATCTCTTTACCCAGTGAATAAGAGAGATGAGAAGATGCAACTAAAGATGCAAGGCCGAAAATGATGCTGGAAGGTGCACTCCGTGGTCTGGGTCGATTTGCCTACGAGCATTAAATAGCGAAGAATTCCCAGCGTCAGATTCCTTTTCCTAAGTATACCTTTCACGAAGATATTACTTCTTCTCCATACTCAAGATGAAGGTCCCCTCAGCCTCTGTAGTGGCTTTGCTTGCCTATACCGCCAATGCGTCGTACACTAATTCTACTCCTGTGTACAAGGATCCAAATGCAAGTGTGGATGATAGAGTTGCGGATTTACTGTCGCGGATGACCATCCAAGATAAGACTTCCCAATTGATTCAGGGCGATATCTCAAATTGGCGTAACATGACAGATGGCACGTTCAATGCAACCGGTTTAGCATGGAATATGGCGACTCGGGCTGGTCAATTCTATGTCGGTTATCCAGTCGCGCAACAGCTGATCGCGGACGGAGTAAGACAAGCACAAGATTATCTTATGCATAATACAACCTTGGGAATTCCGGCTTTGGTTCAAAGTGAAGGTATCCACGGTTTCTTGATCGGAAACGCGACAATCTTCAATTCACCCATTGCACAGGCTTGTTCTTGGAATCCTGCCTTAATTAAGAAGATGGGAGCAGCAATTGCGCAAGAGTCACTTGCTCTTGGTGTCAACCAAATTTTTGGACCATTGGGAGATTTGGCCCGTGAATTGAGATACGGAAGGGTCGAAGAAACCTTTGGCGAGGATGGATATCTAGCAGGCGAGATGGGATATGCTTATGTTAAAGGTATGTTGACAAAAATGTTAATCCGGGAGTGTAGCTCTAATTGAACTAGGTCTGCAAGCTGGAAATGTCAGCTCGACAGTGAAACATTTTGCAGCCTTTGGAACTCCTGAACAAGGATTGAACACTGGCCCACAACATGGTGGAGAAAGAGAACTTCGAACCACCTATTTACCATCATACAAGCGTATGATAATGGATGCCGATGCTTGGTCTATCATGTCTGCTTACCATTCATATGATGGTGTTGCACTCATCGCTAGTTATCACATCCTCACTGAAATTCTCAGAGAAGAATGGGGCTACAAATATTGGGTAACCAGTGATGCTGGTGCAACAGATCGTCTCTGTGATTCTTTCAAGATGTGTCGTTCCAAAGGCAACGGACTACCCATTGATTCAGATGCGGTAACCATGTTTGTAAGTAATCTTCATATCGTGATGAAGCTCTACTAATCACATACAGGCACTTCCTGCAGGTAATGATGTCGAGATGGGTGGTGGCTCTTTCAATTTCCAAAAAATCCCAGAGCTTGTCGAGTCTGGAGTCTTGGACATCGACATTGTGGACACCGCTGTATCGCGTCTTCTTCGTGCCAAGTTTGACCAAGGTCTTTTCGAGAACCCATATCTCGCAGCACCAGCCAATGAGACTGCATCTTTGATTCACACTCAAGAACATATTGACTTGGCTCGAGAACTTGATGCCGAATCCATTGTCTTGTTGGAAAACGGAAAGGGTGTTCTTCCCCTTTCTAAAACTGCAAATGTCGCTGTGATTGGACCCATGGCACATGGATTCATGAACGTAAGTCATGGAAAATCATTCTTGCATTATTTACCTAACAAGTTCTAGTATGGTGACTACGTCGTCAACGGAAGTATGTACCGTGGAGTAACTCCGTTAGACGGAATACAAGCTGCCAGTTCAGGAAGTAAGACTTCAATGTCTCAACATACATTCATGCCATAGCTAACCTTTTCTAGGCATTACCTATGCTCAAGGTTGCGAACGTTGGTCAAATGACCAATCTGGATTTGACGAGGCTGTTTCCGTTGCTCAAGCTGCCGACGTAGCTGTCGTGGTTGTCGGAACATGGTCGAGAGACCAAAACCAACTTTGGCAAGGACTCAACGCCACGACAGGAGAGCACGTCGATGTCTCATCCTTGAACCTCGTTGGTGCCATGCCTCACTTGGTCAAAGCCATCATCGATACCGGGAAACCCACTGTTGTCGTCTTCTCTTCCGGTAAACCCATCACCGAAGCATGGATCTCCGCAAACGCCTCCGCATTAGTCCAACAATTCTACCCCTCCGAACAAGGAGGAAACGCACTCGCCGATGTCCTTTTCGGTGACGTCAACCCAAGCGGTAAGCTCTCTGTCGGTTTCCCATATGATGTTGGAACTACCCCAATTTACTACGACTACTGGAATTCCGGACGTCCCAATTACCCGGGAGAAGCCTTCGCCAACGGAACTCTCTCTTTTGGCCACCAATATGTTCTCAACTCCCCCATGCCTCTCTATGAGTTCGGATATGGAAAATCCTACTCCACATTTGAATACTCGGATGTTACTCTCTCAGCTACGAACGTCACCGCTAATGATACCATCACCGCCACCGTATCCGTCACTAATAATTCTACTCGTGATGGTGCGGAGGTCGTACAACTTTACGTCCAAGATGTGATTAGCAGCGTCGTCGTTCCAAACATTCAGCTTAAGGGCTTCTCTAAAGTAGCTATCAAAGCTGGAGAGACCGAAACCGTCAATATTGATTTGAAGGTTGAGGAGGTTGGATTGTGGGATATCAGAATGAAGTATGTAGTTGAGCCAGGAGACTTTGTCGTGCAAATCGGAAGTTCGAGTGCAGACTTGAGAGCAAATGCTACTTTTACAGTTATTTAGAAGGGCATCTAATCTTGTGGTTATATATCACATACATAAATTAAAATGAAATTGATGATCTTATTTGTGCTCAGTCTTTACAGTTGTGTTGAGTGTTGAGTGTTTGTCTCTTCGTGATATTTGTGCTATAATTACACGTACTTACTGTAGAGTATAATACAGATGATGAAAAATCAATTACTACCTAGACACTCAATTCTTGAACATGCGAGCTGAAGATTTTCTAACATCATTTCCGTGCGATTTTGTAATCGTGCTTGTAAATATCCCACATCAATCATCTCGTCCTATGAAATTCAAATCCGCCCAATTAACTTGACATACATCACAGACTACAGTGCATAAATCATATAATCTCTATACGCAGCCTCTTCGCAGATTATGTATGAAAAAAACTATAAATAAGACGGGAGCAACGTTGGATTCATAAGCTTATATGTCTTCAGCTAATTGACAATCGCAATGACAGTCGGAGAGTGGCATTCGTCATTTTGGGGAACATTACAAGTACGGGTGGTCGTTGTGTATGATTTGATCTGATATAGTATAGGATTCTAAAAATGGGCTTGGTGTTCCTGGCGATGCTACGGGCATAGGTTATTTTAAGGTACTGAAGGATGAGGGATCAATAAGGTTGTACGTACTGGCGATCTGACGAAGAGGCTTGGCTGGGAGATATGAATTTGATAATGACAGTCTTTTTTTTCACAGTGAAAGCAACGAACTATATGAGATGAATTGAAATATTTGTAAAAATTACTAAAAGGGTATCAATGATATGATATTATCAAGAATGGGTAAACTCCAAGTTACTTAAAATGTACGGAGTATCATAAAGTCATTTCGAACGGAAATGCGATCGCAAAATTCATCCCCTCAAAATGTACCAACCCCCTTGAATGCGATTTCAACTTTCCGACGCCGTTCAAAAAATCCGCCGAATCCCCCTTTCTTGCACTCTCTCCTCTCTAAAAACCATTACAAGCACCACTTCCAGCCACACTATTCAAATCCTTTGGAATAACTCCCGCGTTTACCGCATCCAAATAACTCCAACGGTAATCATTCAACTGTGCCTTCCAAGTCCAGAAAATCCATCCCAATGCGTGATTTTCATATCCCATAACTTGTGCCTCAAACCATTTTTTATAGAATGCACCTTGAGTAGATGTCGTCCAGCCCGCTGTATCTTGTACGTTGTCTGGAGGAGAAAGAGAGAACTCTCCTACGACTGTTGGGCCACCGGTGCTGGAAATAGGATTGTATGTACAAGAAGATTGGAGATAGGCGGTTTGGGAGACGGCGACGGTGGACCATTTGAGGTAGCGATGCTCGTCATCTAAATGTGAAAGTATATGTTAGAAATCTCGTTGAGAAAAACACTGGGTTGTACGAAGAACTTCTGAGAAAGAAATGAACAGATAAAGAACTTACAAGCCAAAGAAACACCCCCAGCCAGTCCAGCATTTGGATCTCCAGAGCCCCATCCTTGATCCATAGCCTGAACATGCAAGTAGTTATTCGAGTTTACACCTGCCGCTGCTTCAGCAGCTCGAATGGCCTTGTATGCCGCGGGATAAAACTGCGAAATCATACCCGCAGCCTGCCCAGCATCTTGGACTGGTTCGTTCACAACACCAATCATGCCAACGTTTCTGAAAGCAGAGTTCTTGTGAATATTTGTTGTGAGCCAAGAAAGGAATTGCACTCCACGAGCATATTGATAATCAGCATAGAAACCGGGAGTCGAGGCATATTGTCCTGAATCCGGGTTGTTTGCAACTTGCGCTCCCGGAGCTCCATGCATATCGATAATGATGAAGAATCCGGCATTAGCAGCCGTGTTGCAAATACTCTCAAGATACTGGAAACCGCCTTGAGGAAAGTGTTCACTATCGGCGTAAACCAAACTTTCCATCATCCAATATCCGACTGGAATTCTGATTGTGTTAATACCGAAGCTTGCCATTTGAGCAATATCAGCAGCATTGATCCAAGTCTTCCAGTGATTTTGAAAAGCAGCGTTAGCTTTTGCTTGTCCCAAACCAGCCACACAATCAAACTCAGACTGGTATGGACCGCAACCCATAGCTGACCATGCGGTTTCAGCAATCCATGGCTCGAAGACAAAAAGAGACCCGAGATTCACACCTCGAATCTTGCCGGAGGCTGGAGTCCAGCGACGGGCCGTGGGATGTTTGGCTTCCGGGTTAAAGAGAGATACTCCATCTTCTGAACGGAGGTCTTTTTCACCACCTGGCATCCATGCACCAACTGTGCTAGCCAGCAAGGCAGTAAGAAGTGTTGAAATGTACATATCGAGGTAATGGAGTGGAGAAAGTTATTCCGAAATACAGATAAGAGTTATGAAAGGTAGATAGGAAGGGGGAAAAGAGAGTTGATACACCTCGGTTCCAGATTCACTATCAAAAAAAGAAGTAAAGAAAGTTTGCAAATGAGTGTGGAAATTTTGGAAAACGGCGCGTGGCCAAATGAAAGTAATTGTCACAAAGGACTTGAGATGATAGAGGACAATTCGACGCATGATGCCTCTTATAATATATTGCAGAAGTAAGTACATGAAGGGTATGTTCCTTTCGGCACACTAGTTGCCCTCAACAATCACAGCGTTCCATCATGAACGTTAAATTACACCTCGATAGTCACAGTGACTAATCATAAGATCAAGTAAGGAGTACACAAAAAGGGCCGTCTTTGTGTCCCGTCCGTCCGGCCATGAACTTGTTTTGGGGCAGTGTCATATTGAAGTTACATGACATTCCCGCGGAAGTTTAAATAGACGTTTGAACATCGTAAACTCACAGGCGAAGGAGATGAGTATGGCAGGGCAAATGTTCCTCCAACGTGATGCCCATGAAGCGAATGGTCTAGTCAGATGCAAGGCTGGTTTCGACAATAAGTAAGCTGATTGGATGAACCATCAACACGTCATTTGCAGTCTCAAGGTTTCGTTGATTCAATCTGAGATTTGGCCGAATCGTAACCACTTGTGTAACGATGAACATCTCGATAAGGAAGGTTTGAGCAGCCACTAGTGACTATTGGGAATGTGCTCTCCCCAGTAGAATTGAAGAAATGGCGGGGAAGTTAAGACTCACCAGATGGGTGTACCAGCTGCAAAAAAAAAAGTCCAGAATCCTTCCAATTTCGCTTGGAATGGCATGTTTCAAGACTGCCAAGCTGCAGATTCTATCTAAATCATTCTTTTTTGAGATTCCGAGAATCTTTGGTCAGCTCTTTCACTAGAAGTTTGTCTACCAAAATAGTGTTCTCTGCCTCTATTGAATGTAGCCAGCTCAACTTGGAGATGGAATGCCATCCGCACAACGGTAGACGTGAGGAATCATTAGAGCTTGACATGAATTATACTCTCGCGATTTGAGGAGAAGTCCAGCACGAATTACCAGACACAAAGCCCAAGAGGCTATGTGATTGTTGATTCAGCATGTAGAAGTTCGAGACCTACATTATCAAACTCGAATTTGGATGTCGATTTTAGTATTTTAGCTTTCTCTCTTAGCCACGAGATTGGATTTGTTTTAGCGGTCAGCGAGGTGTGTGTCTAATCTGCTTCAGCCACGGTCACATGATCAGCTAGCCTCTATCGGCCAGAATCCACTAGGTTCACGTCAGGTCAGCTAAATAATGTATCGTAGTGGGGTCTCCGCTCCCATCCATCGTTTGCACAGGTGAGACTAGACACGCACACGATGGTCAAAATAAGTTGTACACCAAGCAAACCTTATAGTCAATACTCGAATTTCAATATTTTTTAATCAAAAACTTTCAATATTTTATTTCGAATCTAATAGTCAAACAATTTGAATGTGCCAAGTTAGTTAAGATATTCAAACATATATTAGATGTCTGAAATTCCACCTTGATTTGTGGTTATTTTGCTCATATGGAGACTAATTGACTTGTTAAATCTTTTTTGTTGCGGCTGAGGATCTGATTGACGACGTGTAACAGTGAAATTAGAACTATATCAAAGTTACTTCGGGGAGTAATCATGCTGGGCTTAAGCAGCATTCGAGGATCAGGAACAACAGGCGGAGTATTCTGATGAAACGTACCGTGGCGTGCGATAAAGGAATGATGTACAGTTGCACGGTACCCGACCCGTACATGAGTTCGTCTGCCGTCATTTAGATTCTTCCTCCACTCGATATTTATAGAAGATCTGGTATGAGTGTGTTGCTGAGCTGATGAGATCTCACCTGGAGTGCTGTCGCTAGCGGACCTGTAGGCTGTAGATCACCTACCAACCACTAAAATCTCAAAATGCCAACATGCCAATATGTTCACGTCTGCCTGAACTACCAACACCAACACCGACTTCTTTCAATTCTGTTATAAGTAATAACCTTTCAATCATGTCTATCTTTAATCCATTATTCCCCATTGCACTGTTTAATGTCCACAAAGCCAGTTGCTTCGCTACTGTTTTCCCACCCAAAATCACCTATTTCTTAAGCTGAAAACATCTCTGGGATATTCTACGTGATTGGTTTATAACCTCGTATCTTACTTTATAAATCCGTGCAAACGGTGAGGACTTTCAGGGTCCATAGTAAGAGATCTACGAAGCTCAAAGACTAATGCTTGATGACTCAATCGGACGTCTGACCTCAAGTAACTAATATACCTCGTGCAGAAATCTCTACGTAAATACTCAGTGGTAAGCCAATTTCATCAGTTGACTGCTTGTTCTTGTACATATTTCATTCATCATGGTTTCTCTCAAGAATGCTATACACGCTTGGGCGGTTCCTAACCTCTTTCGCAGCGTTACAAGTTCTCGAGAAGACCCTTCTTGCACTAAAGCTATACCGTCTGATATTACTATTGGGCAACCTAAAAACGTATCAATCACAAGTTCGGACGTCCATCGATCCTACCTTATCGTTGTTCCACCTCTCTATACATCCCAATCTTCAACTCCTGTCATATTCTCTTTCCATGGAGGTCATCGGAATGCATCGCAACAACTCGCGCTGGACCAAATGACAAATTCTGAATTTAATAACTTCGCCATAACAATATACCCTCAAGGAGTCAAGGTAGCGAGATCCCCTCACCCAAAAATAGGCCACAGATTAACAAGATTAGGGAAAATGGGAAGGCAATCCTGGAAACACAGCAAATGACACCCAGCTCGTCAGCGATATAATTGACAGTCTTGACAAAACATACTGTATAGACAGCAAACGCATTTGGGCCACCGGCAAATCTGATGGGGGTGGTTTCTGTAATACCCTAGCCTGTGATCCTATCCTCTCCACCAAAATCGCTGCATTTGCTCCTGTCTCGGGTGCATATTATATCGACACCCAACCATGTTTCCCAAACAATGTTACGATCCCATGTTCTCCAGGACGTCCCAAGATTCCCATGCTTGAGTTTCATGGCGGTGGAGACTCGACGATTCATTATGATGGACAGGCTAATCGATCCAATCAGTGTATACCGACTGTTCCGCATTGGGTACATCAATGGGCCCTGAGAGACAAGTTGGAGCTGAAAAATGTCACGACTGATTTGACGAATGACACGGTTGTGTATAGTTATGGAAAGGGAAAAGATGAAGGTTTGGTACAGCATGTTTTTGATAGATATTTGGAACATGATTGGCCGAGTACGGTGTTGAATGCTGATCTGATTGGGCATGGGGAAGGACCGGCGAGCTTCAATGCTACGCCTATTATCCTGGATTTCTTTCAGAAGCATACTTTACCGTAATCTCGAGGTTATTTTATCATTGATAAAGGGTGTTCCGTGGTCAGGAGGTGGAATATAAGCTCTGAATTTCTGGAAATAGTATCCGACATTGAGAGTGAATCCCTTGTTTCACAAATTTGCTTATATAGCTCGATCCATGAATCCAAAGCTTTCGTTGGTTGAACAGCGTCTTACGACGTCCAAATGCTTTCCAAGCTCTGTATATAAATGCATCAATTGTTCCACGTTATACTCCGAACCATGAGGGCACTTCGATCGGCCTCGCGTTATGAGCCTTCTACCATACGCCACTCTTCGATACTTTCCCTCTTCAGACCCATTTGTCGAGAATGTTCTGTGATTGCCTGAAGCGAGCCGTTATTAGTCAGGTCAGTACTGCTACCACTATAGTAATAACTAAACGTCCCATGGCGGCAGACAATAGTCAGATTCCCATGCAATTTCCAGCTCTCGTACCAAATTCTCCTAGCAACGATTTCACTAGGTCACCATCGAAGACACTTCTGGGTGAATCATGAAAATTTGGAATCATAGTGAGATAAAGGAGAAGCTTGAAACTTTGCCGTTTGAGAACGAGGAAGAAAAAACTTGGTAATCTCAATCCTGTAGGCGCGTTCTCTTCGAAGCGCCGACATTCTCAAACAGGCCTTCAAAACAGGTCGTCAAGCAGGTCGCGCCGTGCATTTGCAGATGGTAAGAAAGAAGGCAGAAGGAAACGTGCTGACTAATCAAAGTAAACAAACAAACCAAACCCCAAACTAGAATTCAACGTTACTGCGTACTTTTCACACATTTGATTGATCGACTTCCGATTAGTATACCAACATAGACTTTTGTTGGGAGACGTATTAAAATCAAGGAACATGCATTTTTTGAAGACCAAACCATTGCAAATGCGGCGCGAATATGTCCTATCGTTCATCTAATGGAGCGATAAGCATTTATCTGCATGCATGTGGTCAGACTTGTGTGGGAACTTGCCCTATAGAATTAGGGTTATTCGGTATAGCGAGCGCCACAGGCTACCTACTCACCAATCTTTTCACGACATATGCAACAGGAGGACAAAGAACGGTGGAGGTGGAGTAAAGCTCCTATCAGAATTCTACTTTCTGACCTTAATCTATTCCAGAAGCTTTCAGTGGAGAGTCATTTGCAAACGTTATTGCACAGGGTAGTAAATGGGATGGGCTTAGACATGCAGTCCAACATATTTCAGTTTGACATGGATATATTGCCACATAATGATATATCAGGTCTCAAAAGCTCTACGGAAAACATATCTCCTGATAGTGTATTGACATTAGACAGCATACATCACCGTGATGTTCTCTTGGTTCGCGACAAAATAGGTTATAGATTTTTATAGAGCCCGGGCCTCGTACTACCTACCCTGTGAATACCTACGATGTAGAACCAATTATGAAAAGACTTCACAATGATCTCTGCTATTGCGACTACGTGTCTTGTACGGTGGTCGATCAGTGGCTCTTTAACGCGTTTTTCTCCTCAATCATATGACCCACTATGCAGACTCTTGCAGGAAGCCTTCCCACTTTGAAACCACCAACTAGGCTAAGAGCCAAATGTAAAATAAAATTGAGTAGGGAGTATCGTGGTAGGTGTCGTTGTTGCAGCACAACATGCAATTCCCCCAGACCAACTAGACATGGTTTCGCTCATCTTGGCTCCTTGAAGGAAGACTACTTATATCCCTTTGGCAAGCTGATCTCTTCTTTTTCTCTGGACTCTGTCCGCGGTCCTATTGAATAGTTCTTCGTGCCATATCTTTACGTGTCGGAAATCCTTGGAAAGACGTTCGATTTTCTGTGTCATCAAGAAATTCTTTTCATCAAATATTGCTCGTCATATATCATCAGTATGTTGCTGTCATCGCGTGCGACAAAAATACTCGAGGAGGTTAAGAATGTAAGCCACTGGCCCTCTTCGTTCTCGCTATTAAAAAGTTTGTAGATGCTCGTTGATCTTACAAATAAAAATGTGATTTTGCACGGAATTCGATTTCATGCTAATATTCCTCCGTTATCAGGGGTGCTGTATGCTTTATGGTGCAGAGTTTTTCACTGAAGATGAATGGATGAAAATAGACGCGTTACTGCACAAGGGAAAATATGTTTTTACGAACGGCCCCCCAAAACAGTTGTCAGATGCGTATGAACCTTCGAAATCCAAACAGCTCGTGAGATTCGAAGAAAAAGCAGTATCCGAATCTCTCAGCAATACTCAAGCTGGTCTTCAAGAGCATGATGGACCTTCTGAGGATCAACCCAAGTCAGACGCGTTGGTCACATTGAATAGCAATGGTCATAGAAAATTTTCGGGATCACCATCAGATGCAACTTGTTTCCATTGCCAGGCTCGTCCCCAGCTCCTCGAAAATGAGGCTCGTGTCAAACTACCGAAGCCAAAATATAATCCTTCCGCAGCGGAATTTGTGCGCGATTATGAGCCAAAGAAGGAGGAATCCACACAAAGCGAGCCAACAACAGAGAGTGACGAACCGAAAATAATCCTTACTAGAAGTGCGGCCAGTTCTGGCATTCTATCAATGCCTGTCGGCCCACGACCTAAGAAGACAGCACCTGTTGCCCAGGCAAACAAGTGCTACAAAGCCATCAAGGATTTTCAACCACCACCTGAGGCACCTGGCGGGATCCAAATATCTTGTGGTGACAAAATTAGGGTCAGAAAGCCTATTGGTGCAAATCTTTGTCTGGGGTTGAATTGTAGAAGTGGGCTATTTGGTAGTTTTCCTGTGTCTGCGATCTTAGAGGACGATAAGACAAGCAGTAAGAAACCGGATCATGGTAGCCCAGCTCCGAAAAAAACTGGCGGCTTTTCGATGGATGAATACGACAACAGAAAAACGGCCGAAGTGAGTCCTGAATTACGAGTTTTTTAGACCCGCCTCTATACTTAATTATGTCAATCATAGGCTGATGCTAGAGATGTGTAGTGGGCGGATGACGACGAAGACGACATCTTACCACCACCGACTGAGCCACAGAATACCTCGAACAGTGTCAAAGGAACGAACCAGATAGAAGGCCTGGATCGTTCTGAACCTGCTGCTTCGGCCAATAATGACCGCGAGATCAATAGTGAGAGTGACAGCGAGAGCGCTGGAATAGAGTCAAGAGTCTCTAGTCTAAATACAGACCATGATGAAGATGTCGTCAATGAGCAGGAGCTGAACGATGCGGACTGTGAGAACAAGGTTGGTTTCACCTTTCCTGATACATCCCTCTACCTTTCTTTCCATTTATTTCAAAACTTGCTTTGTGAACTCGGCTTAATAGCACAAAGTCGACTACCTCAGGGCGAACAGTTATACACAGATCTCAATGAAGGTTAGTGCTTTTGTATAGTCTTGTGTTCTAAGGCGGTCGATGTGTGTGATATTGCAAGTGAGATCAACACCGCATCTAAATTTCTCGTCTTCCAAAATATATCATTTTTCACATCACAAATTAACCCTTCATACCAGGAACTACAAATGGCCAAATATCGTCCCAATAGATCATATAACAGTTCCCCTAAACCTGGAAAATTTATGACCACCCGGGACAGACTTCGTATGGAACCTCATGAAATTGTCGTTCCAAAGACTGAAGTCTGTTAGTAAGTAACCCATTCCTCTCACTCACCTTCCAAGACCAATCGCTCACCCATTCCAGTTACTGGGATAGTCCAAAGGGCTGTCGCTTCACGGAAGAGCAATGTCGTGATCTCCATGAGCATCGCGAGTACACACTGCAAACCAACATACGAAACGGCAAAATCAACCCCGGAGTTCTCTTCGATGTCGTCTATGCAATTCCCGCTCCCGAGCCCGGCAAGCAACATCAGCCAGCCGATCCTAGTACCACCGTCGGAAAACGCTTCACGTGCTTCTTTTGGCACAGCTACACTTCGTCCGAAACTAGCAGGAAGTGTCTCAATTCAGCTGCGGCGTGTCAATTCCTTCATACCTATGTCGGAAGTGAGGGTATCATATATAAGGAGGTTCAAATCCAAGCCTTTAAGAATCGGAACAGGAAACCAGTTGCTAAACAACCGCTTTCACCTCCTTCCGACGCTTCTGACGGTCAGGGATGGGGATCGGCTGAAAACGTGTCTCCTGCTTTAGATTGGTAGACGAGAAGCAAGCATACAAGTTGCAAGACAAAGATAACAGCTTCGAAATGGACATTGTACACATTGTACTCTGGGTCAACAAAAATATGGCGAGGATCATCGACAGGAATCTTTGATAAGATAGCTTTCGTTTTCTTCTGGCGAAATGTCGCCAAACATGGTTCTTTTAACTAAATTGACAAATTGGTATTTTTTAACTAAATTGACAAAATGGGATCATAACATAGCTTGGAACAATAAAAACAGAAAATCATACTCTAATTTTCTTGCTTGTGCTTTGGTGACGCCATGAAACGTTCCTAAAGGAATTTTGAGGTACTTATGTATACCGCAAGAACTTCATGACAGCAAAGATGACGCTTGAGCAACATAATATCGTTGACTTCATATTCAACGAGCTAAAGGACATTCTCGGATCCTCAAGAATTTTGAATTTGACCATCGTAAACTACCTAGGTAGTCGCTTCGGTCGCTCTATCCTTATCTTATGACCCATTGAACCAACGTACCTTTCCTGGACTTTTGAGTTGCCATATATACCAGAAGCAGAAAGAGCAGAAAACAATGGTTCAAATCTGAGAAGCGAGGTTGCAGGGGCAAGAAGCATGCGATCGAAGTTTAAATACTGGAGATTACAATTACAAATAACCTAAATCCAACCCACTAATCAACCGGTTCTCCAACCTAAAGCCTATATCCATTGTCCATAAGTCTTATCCAATTTCATGTCCCATTTACGTCATACCCAATATCCCCAGTGCCGAAATCCATCCGAACTCCTGAAATGTGACAATATAAAGAAAGGTTTTCTGATATAATTTCGTATCATAGTTGCAGCGATTATAGATATCGACTCCTCAGAGCTTGGCTGATAGTGCTCATTCTACTTGCCATGCCACCTGCCTGCATGTTGCTCGCGAGTGCCTCTTCTAGTGCGCTTTGCGTTACGGACGCGTCTAAAATTCATTGGAGTCAGCTGAAAGTTCTTCTCTCATCCGAATTAAGTCAATAGTTAGAGAAATTTCGTAACAAAAAGGATACTAAATTCGACTTTAAAAGCAGTGCGGGGTATCAATGAAATTTACAAAAGAGATGAACGGAAAACACGAATAGGATAAGCCTCATCGCTTGAAACTCTTGGTAAATGGGGAAGACAGACCATCCAGATCACTAAAACTACTACCCATACTTGGTGTTCCCCCATCACTTCTCTCACTTTGTAGCTCAGTTGTGCGACGAGGACTCAATGGGCCAGTCAGCGGTCGTCTTCCTCCTCCGCTTAAAGCATCGTGTCTCTTGTTCACAATTGGGGCGGAAGAACTCGTGGAGGAATCAGAGGTCTGCGATTCGACTGGCAATAATTTCTTGGGGTGAGCGGGAATTCGCCGAGAAGGATTGCGGGGGTCTCCCCGAAGGGTAGCGGATGGATCTTGCGGGGTGGGAAGAAAAGTGAGCTCATCATCTGATGAGGGATCTTTGTTCGTTTTCTTGATAGAAGGAAAGCGTTTGTTAAGCAGGGTTGATTGGAATGGATAAGGATCGTCATCGGAGGAATCCTCAGGAGAAGAGAGTTGCGCCGGTTGTGGAGAATTTCTAGTTGGATGGTCAATTGCCAATGATGGTGGTCGTGATCGCTGCTTTGGTGAGAGAGATCGTCGATTCGTGGTGGCTTGAGTTGGTCGCGAAGTTGGTGCTACAAATGTGCGAGATTGAACAGTTGTTTCCCGAGATGATGTGCGAGAGAACGGCGGAGCTACTTGATATTAGATATTAAATATATCACCTAGTTGAAATGAGGAATCATACCCATTGCGCGATTAGGGGTATTTGGCACACTTCCATCATTTTTCGAGAATGGAGTACTCTTTCTATTGGAAAGAGAGGACTGAATTCGTGGGCCTGCTAGTTGTGAGCTCCTAAGCTGATAGATTTCATATGCCGCTTGCGAGTTACCTCCACCTCCAGATCCAGTTCTCTTCATTTCTTCTCCGCCTGCTTGTTCAGATGTACTGTCTGGAACTGGCGACGGAGCCAAAGAGCCTTTAGATACCGTGGCTTTCCTCATCTGCTCACGAACTTGTGAAAATTGTCGTTCGTAAAGCCATGCTACCTGCTGAAGAAGGAATGGAAGAGTAACTTCGAATTTCGTAGCTCTGCGAGCATGTTAGGATGTGTTGGAGAATGCGCAAAAGAAACCTACAATGCAGTCCCTAAATCTATTAGCAAGGAGATTCTGATAAACAATTCCAAGCACTTACAATCAACATCGCTATTCTTTGGAGCTTTGAGCAATATCTTCCAAAGAGCCTTGTCTTTTCCTGCATCCCATTCCACCTGAAGAAGATGGTTATTAGTATAGTATCTTTATTACATGAGGATAATCCATACCGCTGGAGGATCAACAAATTCGCCACGCGGAAATGGTAGTTTTACAAACACAGTATAAGTGGGATCTGATTCCGCGTCTGGACCTGACATTGTTGTCGTGGGTTAATTGCGATGATGTAGTTGATGCGGTTGTTGCTTTCTCCATAACAAGTACTCTTTATCGGAGATGGTCATGCACTAAGATAAAGCTTGTGGTCGCTGTAGTAATAATGCAGGGTGCACCTACCACTACCATTCCCTCTGAAAACACACACCCAAACGGTTTGTCAAGATGCCATCTGCGAGAGTGTTAGATCAACGTCTTAAATAGAATTTCTCTTGTGTCTTGTTTTGAGTGAGGCTTGAGTATTATCAAATGGACTGAGAGCGATTATCTACTGGTGTTGGATTATGTGTTGGATATATATATTTAGATAAATGCCTCTGCGCCATCTCTTCCTTGGACTTATCAAGGATAGAGCGCCTTGTGTGGTGTTGTGGTTTAGTGGTATAATTCTTGCTTAGGGATATATCAGTCTTCATCGATTGATTCTCCATGTAAGAGGTCCCCGGTTCAATCCCGGGCAACGCCCCAAAGTTTTTGCTTCATTTTTTGCTCTGCATACCTGCCTACTACTTCTCTCTGTCGACTTGTTTTACGCTCCACAGAAAGGATGGTGTGGAGGGGGGATTTTCGTTTGCTTTTGCGGTGGGGAAGATTTGTCTGATAATGGCAGACTTGCAGCAACCTCACCCGATTGGTCACAGCTTTGCCGAGATCTCCTTTTTTCTCTTCATTCGGTATGAATACAAACTAGTCTTTGGCTGTGGATATTGACATTGATTCATGTATTCCCTATAAAGGCATAGATATCTTGTCCTGGAACATTCAGTAGTTGTGCGGTCTTGAATTTGAATGGGGCAGCAGAGCAACGAGCAGCTATGGGAGCAGTCAAGAGTTATATATTGAACAGATGCAAATACGACAGTTTTTTTGACAAATGATCGGAGTCTCTCACAACGCAGAGAACAGCAAGATAGTGCAAGCCTTTCGGGTGTCGAAGATTATTGGAATGTGGGATTTGACGTGTTACCTGTATGTCTAAGTAGTTAACACAAACATGTGATGACCCATGACTTTATAGATAACGGTAATTTCAATTTCTCGTTGGGTGATGTTATCGACAGCGCTTGGCTAGATCGAGGGTTGAACTCAACATAAATTTGTGCGCAAGGCCGAACGCTGCAGAGAAGCATGATAAAAGATGCGACATGGTTTCAGAGATTATCTCGTCTGGAAATTTAAGGCAGGGAATTAGTCTAAACGATTTGTGGGAATAAAGGGAAAGAACTGCTTAATGGTTATTGCAGGTTGAATAATTGAAAGATTTTTGTGGTCTGGAATCTAGGGCTACTATTATTCTTTCCTTCATTGCTCTAATCTGTAGGATTATCTTTAACCTCAGACATCACTATAACTTTGATGATGGCAATTTTCAGTATAGCACATGTAAAGACTTCAATTCGGTTAGTGGGCTACCATCAAGGCCAATCTCGAGTATCACTTACCATCATATGTCAATTCCATGGCCTCCTTTTGGAGAGAATTGCTGCATTTTTGAGTACCACCAGAAATAGTCGATCACATCCATGATTTTAATTTGCACAAGATTGAAAGGACTTTCCAGATTCAATGACGACACTTTACGGGCTATAGAATATCGATCATCATCGTGGTTTATGCGTGGATAGATGTCTAAAAATGCTTATCGTTTATTGATAATAGAGGACAATCCTTACGGGATTTAATGATACCCTTCTACCCCTCTTTCAGCTTCCCACTACTACCCCCAATACCCCTGTTTACTCTTCTCGCTTCTCTTCAAAACCCGATCATTTCGATCCATTCTGGGAAGTGGTCCAAAGCTTTCTCCGCAGCCTCAGCAGATTTCCATTTCTTATCAAAGTACAAGGCATTTTGTCGCCAGATATTTGTGGATTTCCAGTAAACTTGCCAAAAGAGTGCGCATGGGGCCAGATTAATGCTTTCCACAATTACTTTCTTAGCTTTGCTATCCCATTCGGCCCCCAAGTTGAAGGGAGAGGGGATTCGACTCGCTTGGAGGAGTAAAGTTGCCTCTTTTGAGCCCAAATAAACTGAACTATCCTCGTCATAATCCATCAAGGTGCGATTCGTACGATCAGTGCGTGTCAATTCATAATCCTGATATCTTTCCTGCAATATCTTCATATTTTGGATCTTGTTTGCATACACAGAGGCAAGAAGAAAATGATCTGGAACACCGCTCGAAGGGACATCCAATGCCGTTGTCATACTCGTGGAATACCCTGCGTTCTCCTTTTTCCAACAGAGATCGTCCTCCCAAAAGAAATATCGATCTTTCAACCCGCTCCAGTTTCCAACTAGCTTATACAGTTTTATTGGTGGGTACAATTGAGTCATTTCGATCTTAGTGACTGAGTACAATCGAAAAGGAAGAGTTGTATCGACCAGGCTTCGTAATGGCACCTTTGATGGGTATAGAGCTCTGTATGCAGCGTAAAGCTCAGGACAAGTTAAGCCAAGACAGGTTGAGCCCTCCCAACCGAGTAGCCCCATCACATTGTATATGATTTCAAGTGGAAGATCTCCGAGACGGCGATGAGTTTGGGTTGGCACTTCATTAATCAGCTCAAGTTAAATTGTAAAGAGGAATTGTTATGTTGCTTACCTTGTAACCAGCAACTTGTGGGGACGTTTCTCATTGTGGTAGATTTCTGAGGTTAATCCTTTCGAGGTGGAATTGAGTAGCGAGATTGGTGAAGTTTCTTAGTTGATCTTGCTTTCCGAAAATTATTTGGAAATCCGAGTGAGATTGAGAGTCTGAGAGGGGATACGATTGCTGGGGGACTGGAGGTTAGTTTATATGATATCAGACAAGGTATGTTCTCTGAGATGGTGCCGTAGTAGACGTTGCTGATGAAGTTAGTGCATAATTCGAAGTAAACCGTACCCTCAGAGACGTACCGTATTGATCAAGAACTTCATAAAATCAACCGTACCTTACAATTTTTCCTAGCTACGTACCATCGCTAGGGCGCGAGGCCTAGATTGTGGTATTCGTTTGTCTCAAAAGAATATCTTTGCAACGAGACTGTAACGATTCGTAAAAGCTCTAGCTTTGTAAAATGCTCTAAGCGATCGTAAGATTACTAGCCGGTGAGATAGATTTGCATAGGCCTGGAAACATCAATTCAAAGTAAAGGAGAGGCTTTGCATGTAGTTGAATATCATGCATTGTAATATTAAACTAGAGATAGTTTTAACATCCTTGAGACTCATTATGACTCTTTCATGACATTCATCAGCTCTTTCCCCTCACCCTTTCGCCTTAGGATTCGATCATGAATAGCCATTCAGAAAATGCACTCGAGCCTATCTCAGCCTGGCGTTCAGCCCAAGCTTCTTGAAACCTTGCATAGTTTCGACGGAATAGAAGACAATTCTTCCAGTACCATCGCCAGTGTCTTCTATCACGAGCCACATCTATAGTGCTCAGAATCACCTTTGTAGCCTCCTTCTCCCACCTCTCGACTCCCACGTTGTAAGGGTTAGGTAGAGGATGTATCCTGAAAGCAAATTTCGGATGGTTCTCTCGTGAGAGCCTACCAGGAGGCCAAGCTATCAAGGAGTCATCGATATTTTTCTGATTGATTCTTGAATTTCTAAACCAGAAATAATCCTGGTAACTTCTCCAGAGGCTATATCTCAGCATATTATTCTTCGCAATAACTTCTGGGGTATTATTAAGCGGAGTGATGTCGTACACAGACTTACGGAGGAATCGAGCTGGTATTACCTGGGTATTGACATTGGAACCTTTGTCGCGCCCCCATGGGGAGTTCGGATTCCAACATGTATATTGATGCCCATGCCAGGCTTCTAGTAACTGAAATAGCTGGACTCGAGCCGGTTCTGAAGGCTCACGACAAAGGGGGGGAGAACTTGTTTCAACCCATTCTCGCAATGGTATCTTTAATGGGTATAAACGTTTGTAGATTTCGTACATTTGCGAACAGGTCAAGCCTAGGCAAACTGAACCTGCCCAACCAAGATGTCCCATGATGTGAAACATGATATCGAGTGGAAATTTTCCGAGTTCGCAACCAAATTGAAGTTCTATCGAAGGATTAGTAAATATAGACCTTGAGAAGTACATATCATTTCACCCACCTTTCTGAGGAAGGACATCAAAGGCCCCCTCTTTTCTACTTCCACGTGGCATTGTTTCAGATTTGCCTTTCTTTATCTTAAAGTGCCGATTTTTGAGTTTTGCCGAGGTGTGTATTCAGAAAACAAAAGTATGAGTACTGATTGATTCAGGCGGTTGAATGTTCGGGAGAGATTATATGTAAACTCAAAGTTTGTCAACACAGAAATTCGATGGTAACACCTGATAGAATTACTCGAATGGTTGTCTGCATCGGCTTTAATCTATAGCTTGTGAGTAAAAGGAGATGAGAATTTGCAACTTAAGTGTTCAAGGACCTTATAGAAGGGTGATTACTTTCTTGATGCTGTACATAATGGACCGCACTGAATTCAGAGATTGAGTTGTTTAAGAACCAAAGATATACGGTCGTGCCGTATTATCCAGAGATATTTTAGTGAAATCAATAGCGGGTGATCGATTATTCAATCCGTTACGGCACTCCATATTATGCACCCATGAGTCACAGAGGAAAGCTCTTTCATCTTGGAGGCTAGTCATGAGATGAGAGTAATGGGATTTACAATCTTTTGGGTAGAATCGACACCATGAACTTGTTGATGCAATGGTCCAACGTACAATGAAACTCAGCCCCTCTACGATATTGGTTTGACAAACCGCCCTAGATTCCCTATCGATAGCTAAAAGCAGTATTGTAATGAACATGTTATTCTATCTGGCCCCAAAGACTTTCCATCCCTCCACTATCACGACCTGCACTAACCTTCTAACTCCACTGGTCTTTCTTCACCGCCAAGCTCAGCCGCTTTCTCAGAAGGCACTGCTAATTCCTGATTTGGTGCTTCATGATACGTTGGAGGCTTCGTCAAAGACCCTGTAGGATGCTCTGTCAACGGTTCTGTTGCAGGATCTCTCTTGCTTTTCCTTCGTTTGTACAGGAAGTACGCCAATCCAAGGACTGCGCAAAGTACAACCACAGATGCAACAGCAATACCTGCTGCTAATCCACCGCTAAGTCTAGTGTATTTATCCCTGTATGTCGTGTCAACTGCTGTTGGATTTCCAATAGCGCCAGTGGAAGAAGTAGATTCCTGAGTCGAAGAAACTGCAGAACTGGAAAGTGTCGGAGAAGAAGTAATTGTAGAGGACGAGGAAGAAGCTGTGGATGATGAAGTAGAAGTTCTAGAGGATGAAGAAGGATCTCCGGTGATGACCAAAAATGCTGGACTTGACACATCACGAGAATCGGGGTTAAATGCAGGATTAAGGTCTTTAAATCGAAGAACGTATTTTGCGGTCTTGCCTAAAACACTGGTCGGAATATCAATTGTCCAGTCATGAGTACCGCTATCGTTGGCGTTGATATTTCCTATTAAAATAAGGTCTATCAGTATCATGGAGAGCCTTGGTAGTGAGATGGCAGGTCTTGCATAATTATACCTTCAAGTAACTGGCTGTATGCAGTCTTTTCATACTCCCACGTTGTGACCCACAAGTTCGTCAAAGTATCAAATTGATAGTCCACTGGCGCCCCAAACCAAGTAATCTGGAGAGTAAGACCTTGTCTGAATGTTTGTGAAAGATCTGACTGGGTGCCATCAGGCACGACCCAGATAGAACCAAAATCTACAGCTTGTTGAGCTCGAACTGCTGAGAGGTAGAGGATGCAGACGCCCAAGATAGCTTTGTAGATATTGAACTCTATTGCGAAAACTTGTAGAGATTCAAGCCGTCAGTTATCTTTGCTCGTTGTTATGGGAAGCACGATATGGCTAAGCCACAAACCCATTAAGATTATGCATTCGGTTATAAGATCTCTAATTGGCGATCTCACGACCGACAAAGTGAATACGCCTACTTACAGCAGTAACTTTGGATTGCAAGAATGATCTTTTTGAGAGTCTCCAGATACTTATAATCATGTTTATCTAATACATCATACACATCTTTTACTATTGAACGCCTCTGCATCTTATTACCAATATATAATTCTGGAGACACTTTACTTTTCAGACCGTTCACATGAAGCCCTCATTCGATCAGATCTCGAAAATAGGTGAATAAAAGCTGGTGATAGTCATGATATAATGTCACATGATGGTTGCTGACCTTGAATATTTAAAGATGTGATACCTTTGAGAGAGTGGAGATGATAATATTAGAGTGATGTCAAATCGATGACATTATCATAAGCTTGGGTGTAGATTTATCTGAGCTGATGTGGTGTAACATTGGCTATACATCTGGTGAAACAAGGTATCAACCATGTACCAGATGTTGAGATATGGAACGTTGTATTCGACCTAGTTGCGCAGACAAGCCTAAATGAGATTACACCTTTACTGCCTTCGAAAACGCTATCTTCGATACACTGATTCGATCCAGCTCGACTTCTCAGGCGGGGACTAAACAGATATACAACTAAGTTTATCGGCGAATACTCAAGAAGCTTACTGGGCGCGTCTACTACGATTTCAGAGGTGCCTACGAACGATGCTTCAAAGGAAAATCCTGAGCAAACAACAGGAGGGATATCTACGAAGCTTGAAATCTTCCTCAGTCATACAGACATTACTTTACCTAACGATGAGCACGATTGGTCAAATTTACTCATCATTGGGGAATAAAAACAGAATCCTGATAAGAATAGCTCTACAAAAACATTGGTATAGTTGGCAGGGTATACGCGTGAGGTGTTTCGAAGTCAACTGGAGTGGCGATTCGTCCCTGGGTTTACAATCTGCGGAAGTCCAATGCGGCTTTGGGAATCCGATAAATTTGAAGAACCTGAGCGATTCATCTTAGTCATTGCTGGGTATGCGTTGATAATGGACGCGAAATTGGGGTTGAACACGTTTATCAAACGTGATGGGATCAGTAGGTAAATCATCTTACAGTATTTAGAGATCTCTCTAGAGAACACGCCAACCGCCTCGCAGAAACAATAAGTTCCATTTGAACCTAGATATTACTGTCGCAGTATCAATAATGTAATCAAAAAGAGGGCATTGTATTGGCTCGCGAGGCGCTAGCGATTCCTTATATAAGTATTAGTTTTCCATAGATAATAATGATTGAGAACGACTACTACTTTAATAGATGGAACTATTTTACACTTATCAACCAAGTTTATGCCAGCATTTATGTCTCACCTGGCTAATATCACGGTGAAGGCGATACTAGGACGTTTGGATGTATGTTGATAGACTTGCATGCAGGTGATCCAAACGGAAGCTAAGCGATAATAACTTAGTAATAAAGTTTACTATTTGAGTTGAGTACGAGGCTCTACCTACTGAGGAAACATATTCTGCTGATTAGACCTTTTTTTACTGCTGTCCTATTGCTCCCACTACATCTCACCACTATGGACAGTTGGAACCCAGTGGGATAGCCTGGTCAGATGATCTCTTTCCCAAATGTTCTACTATAACTAATCCAGCCATTGTATCAACAGAACTCGATTCCCTATGTTGGAGTTCAACGATATGAATCCAAAATCCTAATGATCGTTTTCATGTGATGACAAGCTATCAAGCCGAGATGTAACAAACAAGTTCTTAAACAGCAGAGCGATCTTGGTTATAGTTCGTGGAATTGATCGGGGCTCTGCCACTGATGCTGTCTCTATTTTGAATTATTATTACGATAGTATCAGTTACAAGATGAGTTTCTGATCATACCTATTATGATATTCCTCCTTAACAGCCTTGTGCTCTCTGTGACGCTCACGAGTATCCTGGAACACGGCAGTCAAAGCATGAAGAATACTATGGATGCCATTAACTTTTGTTGACCAAAGACCGTACCAGATGTGACTTACGTGCTAACAATAGCTGTGATGAAAGTTCCAAGAGGCAATTGACATCCTGGGTCGGTGGCAAAATTATTCTGCGCTGCAATCTTTTTCCTCTGGCCATAGCAAGGTCCAGCCTTCCCACCGTTCGGGCTCGTCAACACGGCGACAGCAATAAAAGCTCCCACAAAAGCTATGTCGAGTACAACTAAGACCCAACGAAGGAAGTTCGGTCCGCCGTTTCGCATACATAGTTTCAAGGCCATAATTGTAAGAGTGTAAGCAATGGCTGCAGCGAGGATACCTTCGATGGCTCCCTCTGTGTGGGAAATGCTGCGATAGAGTTTAAGAATTTTTTGTATGCGGATAGAGAAAACGATAAGAGACGCGAGGGCCGATAGAAATTGCAGGGTGCGGAGGATTCGTTGAAGGAGGGGGTAGAATTTAGAGTTGTGGAACCTGGATAAGAAGCCTGCCATTTTGAAGAACTTTTGATGTTGACTTGAAATTTAACTTGAATATAAGAGTACAGATAGAGATAGCTAAGAAGAAGAGCACTTGCACCTCTATATAGAATAAGAGCTGCGATGAGATTGCAATGACGCAGCAAGATTCTTAACTAAATGATGTAGAAATCATGAAAATACGTGTATTTACAAGTTGCTGTGTTTAGATATGCTGGCATATAGTTTGCCCTGATATTGGTAAAAAGATGACCTCACCTGGGTCTTGGTAAGTCGTGAAATCCATCTCTCCATCGGACCATTGATCTTGACGCTACAACTATCAAGCCCAACAAAACAACTCCAGTGTGATTTTGAGAAGCATCCTGCTACCCCAGTGGCTGAAACATCCTAGTAGATACTGTATAGGAAACGGGCTGTTACAGGCTGAACAATTACTTCGGGGAAGAGTATCATACGTCTATTCTTGAAAATTTGAATGCCACTCGACTCACTCAGACGCTCGGTATTCCTTGGCCTCTGACCAGGAAAGAGATTGAATTGTATTTGACGAAGTGTATCCTTTCGAGTTTGATAGTCAAAAGTTCAATGGTAATTGTGTAATGGAACTTTAGAGAAGCTGGAATTACTAGACTTGCTTCTTGACTATACTGAAGTGCCGAGCATGTCACAAGAATGACGACTCCTGAGCAACAAACACCCAATGTTCAAGTAAACCAGAAATTGGCTTTGTGATGTCAGGTACCACGACAGTTTATGATTCTACGAAAAGAGGTTTTCATAATTCGCGCAACAGCAAGGATGTTTTTGCTACCGCTTCTAAATTATGTCAAGAAATAACTATCTTCTGCTCTTATATTATCGAGACCTATTTGACTCACCTAGACAATTGATTCCATTTGTGAGAAAACAAGTTAAGTGTTAGGAAGAAAAGAAGGTAAAACCGCATATTACCGAGGCCTACCATAAATTTCTTTAAGATTGTATACTGAATAGAATTCTTTTCTTCTTATATATACATTGCTAAATACTAATAAATACGTTGTTAGCTCAAGTAGAAATCGATCTTTAGTGTATTAAGTTGTGTGCAATTAAAGCAACGATATTCCTTCTCACCGCCTTTGTCTCATGAATTATGACAACCCCTTTCGAACATAGTGAGCTGCACCGCCACGAGAACCTGGTTCCAGACCCTCGGACCATTAGTTCCACGCGCTCAGATTGGAGGGCTTGGGAATTGGAGTAACGCCAGCCAAGCTTCTGTGTGGCACATCAGAGCGGGTTAAAAGCTCCCCCCTGCTGAAATGTAGTTTTGGTGGCAATATTCTCACGTGCAGCCTCAGGGAGATGCAGATGTTATACCATGGCCGTAGGTGCGATAATCAAGAAGATGATGATATTGTTCATGGATGACAATGCGAACCGGAGACGAAGAGCTCGTCATACATGCGATTCATTTACGGAACACTCTTTGATTCACAGTTCTTGAAAGACCTGGGCAGCTCCGACGATACTATGAGAAAATTTCCTGTTCAAAAGCCCTGCGATGTTCTCAGTACGATAAGCAAACTTCACGTAGGTATTCACTTGAGATTTAACGTGGCTAGTCGTCATACGTGTAACCCTTTTTAACACAAATAATCGCGTCCCCTTTGTTCCAACATTCCCACATTTAGCTTCGCTCAATCAAGTTTTAAAAAGGAGGCGAAATGGAGGTAGCCATGAACGAATCCCTTTTTGAATGAACAATTACATGCTGTGGTCATGCATATAACTTTCAGGTAGGGCAGTACGGCGATAGAAGCATTCCCAGAACGCAACATGAGGTCATGAGTGCTTGAGTGGTGGCGCGAGCCTCTTATCTCTTGAATATCAACTTCTTCAATTTTGACCATTATTATTATTTTTAACACCGCAAGCTTTTATAGTTTCCAATCACACTCACCATCGTCTCTCACAGACCCAGATCTCTGTTAGATATGGATGACATTCTGACGCCCTCAAGCTCGAACCAAGACTACGTATTCCAGGAGCAACCTCAACCTGGCCAAAGGATCCCAATTTCTGACGAAAACCCTCCCTCTCATCCTCCAACTAATGAGGTACCTGAGTCTGGCTTGAGTGCCGGCACCTACACTCTGTTCCGACCACAAAATGCTGTGCAGATCCAAACTAGCTATGCGCAAGATGTGATAAATCAAAATTCTAAAGTACAAGTAGACGTTGATCAGATACCTATGCAACATCCCGAGACTCATATCAACAGGACACTAGCTCAGCAGTATTCCAAGAATCATGCTATGCTAAATGAGGATCTAGCATCATCGGGGAATGTACATACTAAGGCTACTCCTGTGCCAATTGCAGGTGCGCCTACACACGACAATACCAATGCTTCTGGCCATACACTCAAAGACAGAATAGATGTGATATTAGCTAGCGCAAAAGAGACAGCAACCTTGATAGACCCAGATGCCATGCAGGCACAATTCTTTTCTGCTAAAGCAGCCGTGAACACAAAATTGAAAACGATGACGAACCTAACCGTCCAAGATATTACTGAGCAAGTGTGGGAGAACTTTTCAGCTGACAGTCATGAGATAGCACGCAAAGACTATGGTATTCGAGGTGCTGTGCAACAGCACGATGGTAGTCCCGTTGATAATATTAGGGATATCGGATGGCACCGACCTCCCACTGAGGTTCCGGACCCATTGCTCGGAGGTTTACCAAACGGAAGACTGTTTTCATTGATAAGGCGTTTCAACAAGGTAAGAAGATCACTAGCATATGGATAACATTCTAATTCGATCAGGATGTATTTGACGTCCGTGCAGTCAATCTCGAAGTTTCTCGTGGACTTGACCTAAACGATGCCTGGTCGGACGAACACGCTGCAGATAAGGCTACTTTGCATCTCGAGCGAATGTACTTATCAATGATACTTGGATTCGCTAGTCTTGGGAAGCATGTTGCTAGAGTGCGGTCATGGAAAGAAACTCGTCGAACAAGCGTTTTCTGTGCTGTATGTTTTATCCCGGTGTCTTTATGGGTAGCTGCTTACAAGATACAAGGCATATTTTACAGCATGGGCTCTTGATCTGTTACTGCCCTTAGTGCTTGGCAGTCTGATTGCGCTAGTATCGTCAAAACAGGCTCGCAACATTCTTTTTCCTCCAGCTCCCCTAGCTCTGGTAAATATGGGAACTGGCGGAATCCAAAAACCTCAAGCTGGTCAGCTGGGAACAAGCAATACTCTCACCGGCGCACCAGAAAAGCAAGAGGGTGAAGCTGCCGAAGAAGAAGCTGCCAATTTTGTAAGTAACATACATCACATGGTTGAAAAAGCAATCGGAATGCACGAGAAGAAACAGAATGAGGGAGATCCACTAGAGAGCAAGGTCCCAAAACCTATCAGAAATGCTGCGAAAGCTGTTCAATCGGCTGGATTTGCCCCTGGAGATACTGGAAACGACGAATACCTGACTCAAAAACCCATGGAAGAAATGCTTTGGGCCAAAGTTAGCCCAAAACAAATCGAGCCAATCATCCAGACAGTACCTCACATTATAGGCGAGATTGTCGACAATTGGGAGCGCTTCGCGAAGTAGGTGATATCATGATTTTGCTTTGTGACTTTTGGCTAACCGTTCAAGCGCGATCTCATCCACCCCACCATTCCCAAAGATGGCTTTTCTTCGGATTGACGCTGTTTTAATACCTGCGTTTCTGATGTCACTATTTTTCAGCTACTATATGGTGTACAAAGGAATTGGTTTCTTCATTGGCTTTGGTATTTTTGGCGATCCAATCTTGACGCCAAGTCTTCAGTGGTTAAACCAAAATTATTCTAATTGGAAAGAGCTTTTAGAGCCCAAGAAGTAGGTCACTGTTCGTTCATGGCTAGAAAGCGAAACTAAAACTGTGTAGTAACATTCTCCGTGGCGTTCCCACAAATAACCAGCTAACACTCACACTTCTGAGAATTGGGGAGGCCAACCATACGCCCCTCCCTCCAGTGCGAACCTCTCAACCCAATGATTGCAATCAGAAGCAAACCATTGATCAGGATAATATCCCGCTTGATGCCACGGATGCCGAAATTCAGCACGCCATTCATCCTTCTGGAGATATGGAGAAATCTCATCCGCAGGAAGAAGAGCAGGGCGAGGGCCAGAAGCATAAAAAGCTGGCTAAGTTTATCCGTGCCCTGAAGGCCAATACTAAAGCATCTGTAGAGACGAAATTAGCCGTGGACCATGTCAGGGCTAAGGTTGGTAACGAAAAAGCCAAAGGACAACTAGGCATTCTTCCAAAGAAGAAGAATCTGATTTACGCCGGCCCTAGCGAGTATAAGGCTCGATATGACGGCAAGAAGGGCTGGCTCTACATCACGGGTAACTCTATACTATTTAGCCACAAAGAGCAGGGCAACAGATCGTCTTTAGTTGTTGAGATACTTTTTGCAGAGATCAAGCAACTGAAGCGAGTAGCGGCATTCTCAACCAAGGCTGCAGAGGTGGCAGCTGATTGGGGAACTGACAAAGATCTATTGGGGAGTGTGGAGATTAATGGGTTGAATGATAAGACATGGAAGTTTACTGCGCTTCCAGAAAGGGATGAGCTGTTTAACCGCTTGGTCGCTATTAGCGGGCACCGGTGGGAGAATTTGTGAAGTGGGGGGTTGTGTACGATATAAAGCAGGTAGTAGGAGGGGCAGCATGGTCTTTATGAGAAAATCGGAAAATTCTTCTCGTGTTTGATAAAAAGTAAGAATCTTATAACGTTACATGATAGCGAAAAGTACGACGAGCCATCTGGATATAGCAAGCGATATAGAGATCGATATCGCGCGAACGCATAAAGAAGATGCCACGGGGGTATAGGGCGATGGGGCTTATCGATGACTGGGGCCAATCAGGGGGCAAATGATTGATTAATTGAATGATTCATTGACGTCCTGTATCAGCCTAAGAGTATGTAGGCCGGCTACAGCCTATGGCTTTAGCAAGTCTATATATTGTATTTACAAAAGGGTTCTCTAGTGGTAGTTATTAATGATCAAGTGAATGTTGAGGGGCTAGCCCCTGGTATGAAAGTAAAAAACAAGATGCAGGACAGTTACTCCGGCCGACAATTTTTCTTTCACACGTTAGTGGTATCTGGGTCGGGGAGTTTTGATAATTTCTAGGTCCTCGAGCTCGGGATTTATACTTGAAGAGCGCGGTAATTTGACTGGTTGAGATAATCAAAAGAGTTTTAGCTGACTTCTGTCAACGATTTTTATACACGATTTTTTGTTGTTATTGTATCTACTTGGAGATTTGCATAAAACGAAAGAGGAGTTTGATTACTGTTAATATCCATCGAGGTACTCCACAAGCTACCCAAACCGAAAGCAAAGCCAATATTTTTGGTATGCAAGTACCTACGGAAAGGCGAAGATTGTGAGATGAGAATGGATGATAATTTGAACTAGATTGAAAGACGCAAAAACGGCCACAGGAAGGGAGCATATATGAGCGTTACTTAAAGATAGAGCTATCTATATATTTGTAGCGCACATCTGTCTATTCTATTCCCGCATATAATCAAACGCCAGCATGTCTATTGTCTAGACGTCTCCAGGTATGATTTCGTGCACAAAAGAATGCATTTCCTTCTGTTCAAATATAAGACTCTCAAACTAAACTGAAGGTCGAAACCCGCTAGGTTAAATGAATCGGGAAACGGTACGATACTTTCATTGATTGTTGGTAAATGCCTTAAGATTTGTTACATGACTAGACTTACAGGCGTGAAAGTAGTGGTTCTCGTTATCCTAGTCGTACTCGTGATTGTGGTTGTGCGAGTTGCCATAGCCCCAATGATTTGTCAGTGACATGGACGGATGATTATTTGATTTACACTCACGGCTCTTGAATTGAAGCTGGAGACAATGCCATGACCAAATTTATCGTCGTGGTACTACCCGGACCAGTGATATAAATTGTTGTCGTCGATCCTTGAGTACTAGATAGAGAGCCTGATAATGCCAAGCTTGAGTTTTCGATTCTAGAAGTTGAGGTTACGTTAATCCCCGATAGGCTTGTAGATACTATCTTTGTTGAAAGTATGAGGGTTCCGGGCGAGATATCTATATATATGTTGGGAGCAAATGCCAACACGGCGGTCTAAAACGTCAGCGTTGCCTGCGATTATGTGTAAAGTTACACATACTGAAGATACTACAGTAGGAACTGAGATGGCCTTAGTATAATAAATCGGTAGATATTCCGTATGAGTGACCCAGACTTCAGTGACAGTTGTACACAACCGAACGCCATCGGATGATAGTCCGCATATTTGGACGTATATGTCTGATGGATCATCTGCTGAAATTGACCGCCATGGAGCGGCATAATATGTTGTAACATTATGAACGTAGTTATTTGTCCACGACGGAATTTTCTCGCGCTTGCGAAGAGCTGAGACAATGCCCGCAGGAGGTGTTATGGTAGCTAACGAATAGCCGTACTGTGTAGAGAAGGTGACGATCTCATCACACTCAGAGACAGTATGCTTAGTAAAGTATCCTGTTAAAACAGTTGAGCATTTAGTAGTGATAATAGTCTGAAAAGAAGGCGAACATGATGTAGTCCTTGCACCTGGCAAGTTACAGGTCTCGAAAACAGGAATCACTGAAGTGACATTCATCCCTTGGGAAGTAGGATTGGGTCGAATAGACTCAGTAGCAGGCCAAGGTAGCGTATAGTTGATCGAGGTTGTCCGCCCAGTAGAGCCTTCTTGGTAGGTTTGTGCGACACTAACATGTTTGTAGTTCTCTTTACCACCATCATCTGTCGACCTACTAGATGTGAGATGAGTGAGAGCCGACTTCCCGTTTCCTCCTACAACCCCGGTAGGTAAAATGCACAGCACCGAAGTAAGTGACAATAGAGTCAACATGATTGTTGAAGAAGTTCAAATCAAGAAGGAGAAAAAGACTATCCAGGTCTGCAAAGGGAGAAAAAGCGAGGAAGAATAAATCGTCAACGATTTACATGCAGCAAGAAACTCGAGATACATGAAAACGCGCAAAACGCGAAAACGAGTGGTATTTGATTTTTGGCGTTACTACAAGTCAAACCTACCGTGGAATGTGAATGTGATGAGATTTGTTGATACCCAGACTTCACTGTTGCTTAGCATTCTCAGGACGATTTCTTAGCATCATCATGAAATTGTTAAACTCTCATACGTCTGGAGCTCTGGAAAATATGAATGCATACAAATGCAACTTTGCAATATACGTTTGACGATGATGAAATTGATGGCGGCACAGTGTATGTGGAAGAACAGTGGTTTTGTCTTGTCGGATGAGTCGTGGGTGAACATTCCGGTCGCCGTATTCGAATGCCCCTCTCCACCTCTACGAAGCTAAGACAACAGTACAAGGATTTCGAGTAAACACAAACCAATACCCAAGTACAAGTCCAGTACAACGATTCAAAATTCTCAAAAATTGGCCTTTTTATGACATTGATACAAGTGTGGTTTTAGCTGGATCGAGGTCAAAAGATTTGATCAATCATGCCTCCCAAGAAGCTGAAACAAAGTACAGCTACACCCGAATCTCTGTCTCCAAATTGGCCCCCCTTCAAACCTCTCATGCCACCTTCGAATTTATCGCTCGAAACTATCGTTCCTGGTCAAATTATTACAATACAAAACTTTTGGACATCTGCTTTGTGTAAGAATTATGTCTCATTCTTGAAGGGATTGCCTTTAACTACGACGCCTGGAAAGCCTAAAAAGGGTGATGCATTGAGAGTCAATGATAGATTTCGAGTTGATGATTGGAACTTTGCCGAACGGCTCTGGAGAGAGACAGGACTGAAGGAGCTTTTATGTGGTGAAATTGAGAGGGAATATGAAGAAGAGGGCGATGAGATGAGCGAAGAAGAGCGAAGAGAGTTATGGTGAGTGCTCCGCCGCTTCATTATGTCTAGTGACATGCACTCGTTAAGATGATGCTGACGATTGCATCGTACAGGGGAGGAGATGTTGTAGGTTTGAATCCCGCCATCCGGATATATAGATATTCTAAGGGGCAGTTCTTCGATTGCCATTGTAAGTCATCCTTTTTTCCCACAAGTTACGAGAACTTCTCATTCTCATTTACTTTCTCAGATGATGAATCAAATCTTATCACACTTCCAACAAAACCTGCGTCTACCCAAGCAAAGACAACCTGGACACTACTATTGTACCTCACATCTCCAGCAACAGGTTGTCTAGGAGGAGAAACAGTCTTCTACCCTGAGGAACTTCCTAACAAGAAGTCTCCTATTGATAAACCTGTTGTCATAAGCCTCGAAACCGGAATGGTTTTGTTGCATAAGCATGGAAATGATTGTATGTTGCATGAGGGAAGAGAAGTTACGGATGGTGAGAAGTGGATTATAAGGACTGATGTCTGTATAAAACGTGTGACTCGGTCGACGTTCTGATAGCTACGAATTAGTACTGAATCTCATCATCAACCTACATTTTTGGTATAAGATAGTTATGCATTGTTGAATAAATTATGTAAAAATGCACTATTCAGCTTGGCGGACCACCAAGATAAACCAATTCGGTAAACCTTCCCTGTTCTCCGCGTCAACTTTCTTACCCAATACCTCTTCTTGAATGAGAGACAACGTGGTACAGCTAAGATTGCTTCCCCTCACCAACAACTGTATTTAATCACATACGAACGAGTTCATGGCACACAGAGGCACTCGTGGCTTACGATGCCACTTCAAGATCAATTGATTGCTCTCACACCGATACTCTGTCTACTAATACATAGCAACTAATAAGTTCAGCTTAGATACTTCATAACGAGAACCCTCAGCTTATCCTGCTCAGCATAACAAGCCATCCTCCTCAATTATGTTTTTCAAAGGATTTTTGACTCGAAACTTCCTCCGAGCTGCCAAGCCAGCCACAGTTCCACGTAGAGCTCTCATGACCCTTCCCTCGTTTTCGCTCGAAGGAAAGACTTGTGTTGTCACTGGCGCTGGAAGAGGAATTGGGAAAGAATGTCTTACTGCTTTTGCGCTCAGTGGTGCCCGCGGGGCCTGTGTTGACCTTACTCGCTCTATTGGCGAGGAATCGATCGATCGCATCAAATCGAGTATTGAAACCACGAATCCCTTCTACAAACCCGACCTCCGTGCTTATGGATGTGATGTGGCATCGGAAGAAGCAGTACAAAAAACATGGACAGAGATCATCGAAGATTTTGGACATGTCGATGTAGTTGTTACAGCTGCCGGTATTGTTGAGAATTATGAGGGAGAGAAATACCCTTTTGATAAATGGAAGAGAATGGTGGACATAAATCTTAATGGAAGTTTCTTGTTCGCTAGGGAGGCAGGGAAATACTGGATTGAGAAAAAGTCCAAGGGAAGCTTGATTCTAATATCGTCGATGAGCAGCATGGTTTGTGTCAGACCACAAAAGCAAGCGGCATACAATGCTGTAGGTATACATTTCGTTCACAACTAGCCCGCCCTGCTACCGATTTTTTTCAAAAAGATCATCGCAAAGTCTATTGCTAACACGATGAAGAGCAAAGGAGCCGTCTCGATGCTTGGTAAGAGTTTGGCCACAGAGGTAAGAAACCTGATATTCTGCTCCCGGAATAAGACTTATCTGAATTCAGTGGGGCCCCTATGGGATTAGAGTCAACAATCTATGTCCCGGATACGTGAAAACAGACCTCATAATTGATCTTTTGGAAAAGGAAGGAAAACACATTGAAGAAAATTGGGTAAAAGATATACCAATGGGGCGTCTCAGTCATCCAAGTGAGTTACAGGGAACGCTCGTCTATATGGCGAGTGATGCATCGAGCTATCTGAATGGTTGTGATCTTGTGAGTTCAACATTATGTGGATTATGTATTCACACGTGCCTCTCACTAATTCTCGTAGGTCGTTGACGGTGGATATACCTGCTATTAATTTCTTCAGGGTATCCAGACAAATTCTAGGTCACTTTAGTATACCATCAGAGTTCTATCAATCTTCTACGTCGTCTTTAAACCAAGAAGCTTTCATTGATGCCATCCCAACAAAGTGCACGAATTGTGGTTTGACAGAAGTCCGTAAAGTAGTTCTTTGCCCCGCATGACAAAACATTTCGCGTCTCAGCTATGTTCCTTTCTCCAACCAAGTCCACGTAATTCTTTTTGTTTTACTAGGCATTTGTTGCAATTGATTCGTCCAAATTTGACCAGTTGCGGAGATCGAGCTTGTTTTCACTTCTGCTACAAGCTCCTCAATATTCCTTGTCACCCTGTACCAAGCTTTGGCCTTGACTGTTGTGCCTCCAGCTCTGTTTTTCATATAAAGGTACCATGAGTGGAAACTTAATTCTTCTGAGCGATCTCATACGATCTGCTTTTCCATTACAACAAAATTTCACTCCAATAAAAGCTCTTCGACCTTTCGAATTCCAATTCTATGCCACACAACCAGTCATTATACCAAGCTTGTGCCAATATTTCTCTCGGCTCATAAATCAACTTCCTGAAACAGATAATCCACATCGAACACAACTGCCAAAATGCGCATCACCATTATTATCGCTGTAATGTTTGCATCTGTCGCGTCGGCCCGCGTCATTCCAGCATTCTTAACGTCTCCTTCGACCGAAACTGTTACGACGAGAAGCATTAAACATTCAACAACGTTAGGTCGCAGTCTTCTTGAGGCGGACATGTTGTAAGGAGACTGTTTAAAGATGAATGGGTCGATGCTCACTATTCTTTTCCGTGTCGTTAGCTGGTCTATCGGCCTCTTGTTCGTTGCAAATATGGAGCATGAAGGAGTTTTTGATATCATTAATGGGTGATACGTGTTTGGTTATGGATCTAGCGACGTGTGTGTTACAGTCGAGGAGTTAAGAGCGAAGGATCAGCATGAAGGAAGTTCAATGAAGTGTTCAAGCTGGTTGTAATAGAGCGGAGATCCTTTGTGGGAGCGGAATCTTCGAAAAGATGACTAAATAGCTTGATCTTGAATGACGGCCAGAAGTTGCTTCGACGCCAGGCCCTTCCCTTCTCAATGCTTCAGAAGACAGTCAGCTATACACCCTCTGGACTGTGGATAGTAGCACCTTTGATAATACCATACAAGATTCTCCTACTAGACTACCATCATCATAGAACGAGAGTATCATAAAACGCACACGCAGCTTCGCGAAGATCATATCAATATAGTGAGCTTGTGACTATGACTAATCCTTCTCAAGAACCAAGCTGGTGGTTTCTTACCACTGGTCCATGTCCACGCTCCCCAGGTCGGTTAGGCCGCAATATCGGACCATGAGGTCCCATTTCCGGCTTCTTCTTTTCTTTCTCTTCATCCATCCGCTCGCCAACAGCACCATCACGATTTGCTCTCCAAATACCACCCTCCTCACCACCAAATTCTTCTTTCTTCCATACCTCCACCCTTTCTTTACACTCCTCCAGGGCTTCTTCACCTGCTCTCCAAGCTGCTTGGCGATGAGGTGAAGACACTGTAATCAAAATGCTTTCCTCTCCGATAGGCACAACTCCCAATCGATGAATCATGGCAATGGATGTCAATGAGTGTTTTTGAACAATTGCTTTACAGATACTGAGCATAGTTTGTAAAGCCCGTGGCTCGTATGATGTGTATTGAAGTTCTTTTACTGGCTTCCCTCCAAAGTTGTCTCTGGTGGTACCTACGAATGATTCAGTACGAAACTCCGAGATCAGTATCTATCTCGTTGACATGTTACCTGCGAAAAGAACGATGGCTCCGGCCTTTGGGCTTCGGACTTTGTCCATCATAACTTTAGCATCGAGATACTCGTGAGTTAATGCCACATAGCAATTATCTTCGCAAATCTCTTTGGCCATGATTTCAAGATTTCGAGATAACTAAAATCCTGTGATGCAATTGTAGAAGTAGAACTCATAAAGCCTGCGCTGGGTGTTCGTGTGGTGGGGTGTAGCCTTCTATATTGTGGCGTATAGTGGGGTCAGCCTTGCCTGTTTTGTGGCTCACAGCTGACCTTCTAAAAACAACCAGCCTTGGTTTAACAAACATCATTAATGCATTCGCAATCGACTTGCCAACATTTAAGATACAGATACTTCCCATCTCAATACTCGTGGTTTAATAACTCAGGATTACACTTATAATCCATATCTTATGACTTTCACGGCGTGATGAGTTCCAGACCTTACAGACCAGGCCCTGATGCCGACATGTATGATGATCAAGAATCATCGAGCGAATACCGACAACATGGAGCGCCTGGAAATGACTCCTATCAATCGTGGAAGGGTAATCGATAGTTTAGACATGCAGATCCCCAAGTATATGTGCTGATCATCGATGTCTTAAGATAACTCAAGGAGTCCTCTACGAGAACCTGCTTCTGGCAGACAATACGACTCGGAATATACAGAACGGGCATATCGAGACGAGCGCAATCAGTACGGCAACAGATATGAGCGCGGTTATGATAGGGAAAGATCAAGGTCTCCGCGCAGAGAGAATAGAGGCCGTTATACGGACCGCGATCGCGAGGGATACAGATCTCCAGTCCGTGGAAGGAGTCGCAGCCCTTCGCCTTACCATGGCGCACCACCAAATCGAACAATAATCTTTGAGGGACTGCCTCTAGATTTGACACAGGAAGACGTTGGCCGCCCCATTCCTATATTAATATCGAATCTGAGAATCCACTTCTAGACTAAGTGTTAATGTGAATAAATTTGGAATTCTGGCTAAGCATAGCGATTGGCCTCATTGGCCATTGTTTTGAGTTATAGATATCAAAAGAACTTCAAACAAATTTCAAAGTTGAGGGTGTGGAGGAGATCAGGTTGATCAAGGACAAGAAAACTGGTAGGTAAACCTTTCTACTAAGGGAACATACGTCTCACCATTTTGCTCGTAGGTATATCAAGAGGATTTGCCTTTGCGCAATTTTATACTCTCCCAGAAGCGAAACGATTCCTGGAGGAACATTATCCAACAGTTTCTTTCCATGGTCCTTCGCAGGCATCAGAACCGAGCAAAGTCAGAATAGCTTACAGCCGCGAGAAGACCGATCAAGAACGAACAAGCAAGCATGAGGATGATTGGAAATGCGATGTTGTATGTCATATTTCACGCCGTTTGGATACTCAAGGCTAATCAGATCTAGTGCTACACATTAAATTATTCATACAGGATGATGTGTTTCAAGTGCAATGGGCCCAGAACTAGTACGTTGCGACGGACCACACTCAACGTCTGTATTGCTAACAATTTTAGGATCAACCGCTCATGGCGTTGTTGTGACACAAGGAAATGTATCTAGTTACTCAGGCTTCGCTACAACTGGAGACAGTGATGCATCACCGGATGAAACCGCTTCGCAATTTCTCTTACTTAGAGGCCTTGAACCTGGCGTGACGGAGGAGATTCTTGCCAAAGGAGTGTGCAAACTTTACAAGACCAAAGCAAGCACATCAGGCGATACACACACGGCCAAGAAGACAAAAATATCCTCTACTTCTGGTGATGCTTCGCTTGGCGCAAAAGAAGGCTCTCTCCGTCGTGTACTACTTGTTCGAGATCGTAAGACAAACGACAGCTGGCGATACGGGTTTGCTGAATTTGGTTCGGTTGAGGATGCACAAAATGCTTTAGCTAAGTACAATGCTACAGATAAGTTCACGATATCTTCGAAGCCTGTCATCGTTTCGTACATCCACGCAGGTGTATTTGTGCCTGTACTTGACTTGCTGAACGAGGAAACCGCGAGGTTCACATTTAGCCCACTGTCAAACTCTGCAATTAGTTTGATGTACTGGGATGCTACAGCTTATGCCAGCGAGTTTTCCACTGTAATCCCAGAAGCTCCTGTCAAGAATATGAACAGCCAACGAACTAAGTTAGCTACAGCGGCGGCAAATGAAGGACTTGTTGGTGGCAAGGATGGGGAACCTCGATCCAAGAAAAGAAAAGTCGAGAAAGAGTCTGCTGCTGGTACTAAGACAGTTGTAGCGCCACATCTTCAATTCTGGACCAACAGACATAATGAGATTCATGGTCTACCTGCGAAAGAGTTTGAGGACAATGATTCTGACTCAACCGTTGGGGTTACAAAACCAACGCCGGAACCCATTGCAGATTCTCCACCTACTCAGTCATATGCAGATCTGGGTCGCAAATGCTGTCTCTTGTGTTCTCGCCAATTCAAGACAGAAGCAGAAGTCAACAAACACGAAAGAATCAGTCAGCTTCATCGTGATAACACAAAGAATGAAGAGCTTGTCTCGAAAGCTTTAGCTAAGCTCAAGAAATCCGAAAGCGATGCACTTTCGGCTGAAAGCTCCGCTTATAGAGATCGGGCCAAAGAACGCCGTCAGGCTTTCAATCAACCAAAGCAACCTGCTGCACAACACAATAAATCAAAAACTTCGTCTTCCACGACCAGCCCACCTTCGCACAAAGGGGAACAAAGTGAGCCTGTGGCACCACTTCAATCAAAAGGTGCAGCACTACTGGGGAAAATGGGGTGGAATGCGGGAGAAGGCTTGGGCGCCCAGGGCACAGGAAGAACAGAGGCCATTGCGACGGAATTATATACGCAAGGGGTAGGCCTAGGAGCTGAGGGTGGTAAGCTCGGTGATGCGATGAAGGAAGCGGAGAGACAGACAAAGGGTGATTATAAGGCGTTTGTAGGCAGGACAAAAGAAAAGGCGAAAGAAAGATATGAGACTTTAGGTTGAGTGGGTTTGGCCGGGCTGAATGCATACTGTATTGTATTGTATTTTTAGATAGATGATGATACTGGTTTCATATCCAGAACTGAGTTCTTTCAGTCTTTCTATATGGGTACAGATCACTTGACAGCAGAACATTTGGCTTCCTCATTCAAGCAGACCTTTAAGATTGACTCGGACGAGATTTGAGACTGTAGCGGCATGTGATGGGATGGGATGGCTATTGCCAAGGTGCCGAGACTCTAGCGAAGGGGTTGAGTCCCGTGGCTTGTCGTCATTCATTGTTCTGATCGCAATGGGGAATAATATGGCATCTAGAGCATGTAGAGAATTCCGATTTTACAATTATCGTGACATATCTATACACTCCTATCCACTATTCAACTTCTAGACGCTAAAGATGTTATGTACACAGCCTTTCCAGCTACAAATTTAGACTATTCAATCACCCTGTGTCTGTACTCTATTGCATACAATCAGATCCCTAGGTATGTTCCTCCCCCTTTACTTTCCTTCCACCTCTACTTCCGTAACAACACCTTCTTCCGCCGACGCCTTCAAATCCGCCTCTCCCATTTCGCCATTCCAGCCATTATCTACCAAGAACTTTCTGAAATTTTCATCTCTGATACTTAAATCCTCACCCGTGATATCTTCCACGAAGAAATAGGTAACCGCGATTCCTGCCACGCCACAAATAGCCGCAATAATAAATGTCCACTGCTTACCCAAATTCGTTTGAATTGGAGTGAAAGCTTGGGTACCGACTGCCGCTCCTACTTTGCCCAGGGCGGCAGAAAGTCCGTAGCAAGTTCCTCTAACGGATGTTGCGTAGGTTTCGGAAGAGATAAGTCCTAACATATCACCTGGTCCTAGATTTCCCGAACTTTGCATCAAGCCATAGAAAACCACAAAAAGTGGGACGATCTTGGTGATTTTATGGTACGACAGTCCGATTATGAGGCCAAACATTAGATATCCGAAGAAACCAATCATCATTGTGTTTTTGCGGCCAATGCGATCACAAAGTAAGGCACCAATAATGACACCAGGTAATGCGATGACTCCGAGTAAGAGATTCCATTCTCCAGTTTTGAGAACGACGGTGCTTGGGTCGGAGGGAACTACCGAAGCGATGATTGTGCCTGAAAAAACACCATTGGGAAACGTTACGAAATCATAAAGAAACCATGCGCCGCATGTTCCGATAAGTGATTTCCAGTAGTAGCGTAGTACGAGTTTGTATGGGACATTTTTCTTAATGGCTCCTTTGCGGTAGAGTGTACTATTGAGCATCTTGATTCGGAAGTAGAAGACGGATAATGGGAGGATGCAACCGATTCCGAAACATACTCGCCATACAGTGTTATAATGTTTGTAGTCACACGCTGCGAGTACAATGAGAAAAATCGAGACGGCTAGTGGACCACCAAAGGACAGGGGAAGGTTGGTGACGAGAATGAAGATGGGGCCGCGATTTTTGGGGGCATGCTCATTGGCGGCTTCAGAGGCGGAAGTAGATGATGCTGGATATTCACCTGGAAAGATGTTAATGAGCTGGACAAAGGAAAATTCAAGGGACATAAATTTCAGAGGATAAGATTCATCAATCCTGACTATAGCCCCATTTTGGTAGCTCTGAATGTTCGAAAGTCATATTGATAAATTCCAATGTTTTGAATCTCTTGATGTATTGATCACATGTGACTTAGTAAATCTGACATTGAAAACAGATTCCAGATTGAACAGCTACTTTTGTTTCTGGACTGTAGTCGGGACAATTGAGATATGCTTTGTGAGATTGTAGGAACTTACCACCAACACCAAAGCCTATAATACCTCTCGCAACAGTCATCATCCAGAACATGCTAAAGAAAGTCAGAATGTTAATGCACTGTTTTCACCAGGGGGAAGGAATAGTCGTTGATGTGCAATCTCGTGATTTCGAAAGTTGAAGGGTTTTCGAAAGAAAGGGGTTTGGCACGTCCAATGGTCGATCATTTGCATTGTTCAATAAACATTGGACATCATAAGAAATTGATTCTATCAAAGAATAACATACCCATCTATTGTAACGCCTTTGGAAGCAGTGGCTAATATGCCACCAAATACAATCATCAAAGTCGTAGTGATAATAGCAAACTTTCTTCCAAAGTAGTCGCAAGTGAGCCCAATGGTCACTTGACCAAAGATCTCACCAACCAGAAGGGAATTAGAAACACGAGTACTGGTTGCTGCGGTATACTCCTTCGGATATTGTTTCTTGAGGATGACGTTTGACATCGTCATGATATTATTGAAGTAGCCATCTGATACTAAAGCAGCTCCGGCCGCAAACTAGAATAGGGCGAGATTAGAAGACATGCCAAAGTATACAGGCAAAACAGTGCAAAACCCCAAATTTGTATATCCGTCGCTTGACGGCTACACAAGGTCGTCTCGCGCAATTGAAACTGCCTAGATTAAACAGAAGTAGTAAACTCACAATTGTGAACTTGTCCGAAAGAGACTGTTTGGATTTCTTTGGGAATATTTCCTCAGACGGTGGTGTCGCAGGACGATTTGTGTTTGAGGATGGGGCAATCTCAACACCCGTTCCCTTTTCGGCCATATCTTCAATAGGTAAATTTATACGAAGCTGTCGGATGTATTCAAATAATCGAAATGCTACAAAACTATCAGATGAACTCAAGCTTTTCAAAAAAGATTGAATCTTATCATAGACTCATACATGTAAGATGTCGTGAGACTTGCTGTGTTATCTCGGGCTGGCGTTTCGAGGAAAGATTGTCTCAATGTATGCATGGAAAGGAAGGGACGACCTGCATATATATAACTGCAGAGGAAAGAATTTTGGACCTACTGAGTACCATCGTATCTCTCTATCTTATCGATATACCCACCTACTCGAGCTACTGCAACATATTGGAAGAATAGAAACGAATAATTGGGCGAATCATCTTCCTCAACCATCGGAACGTGCATCACGAATGTAGAGTTATTCCCTGATATGCCCACTTTCGCAAGGAAAAGTCAAATTCGCATGGGTCACCACGATTGCTACAATGGACATAATTTTTCCAGACGTTGAGGGGGGATCAATATTATATGCTGCTCGTTGCAGTATAGATCATCATTCCCCGGATTGCAATATGCACAGATAGTGTTTTGTCTGACCAGTTGAGAAAGCATAAGGGAGGTGGTAGATTCGAAGACCAATGGAATAACTATGTAGGTACGTAACCAATTCCTGGAGAAGAAAACGTGCCGAGGCCAGTCGGGAGGAACCATGTTTGTCAACACGTGATTGGTTAATTCTTCGAGCTAAGGGATATACGATGGATAGCTCAATGGTAAACCATCGTTGGATGTTTAAATCATAATTTGATTACATATTAAGTATAGTGTGAACCGTAAATGCACACTTGAAAGGGAATGTAACTTCACAATCGGCAGAAAATGAGAATAGCGCAGGCGAACCGTGATGAAATGGGCTAGTAATTAATTCTACGGTGACCAAATCTCCTTAGCCCCGGCGCTTATTGCACGACTTCACTCCATGCAAACTTCTATCTAACGTCATATCCTCCTTCAACATCACGTCCGACAACAGTCAACGTGTACATCCTGTACCAGAAATCGATTCCAGTGCTTTCTATCTAAAGACAAAAATACAAAGACCCTAGTCAACTATTCATTCACAACAGCGAAGGCCTCGGGCTCGAAGGATAGGGGCATTAGAATTCAAGAGAGTCCTACCGATAACTATGTGCCAAGTTTCTTTGAAGAGCACTTCTTCCTTATGAACAGTAACCTTATGCTACAGAGCACTTGGGAGACTATCTTCTATGATAGTGACTGCAAAGATTCGAATGATGTAGCACGTCCTGGGCATGGCTATGTGGTATCATCACTTGATCTCTTGTGTTTTCATGAGATCCTGAAAAAAATTTAAAATTTTGATACTATCAGATGCAAATGCTTGAGGGTGGAATCGTTGACCTGAATAGCGCCGCAAAGAACTGTGAAGTTGACTGTCACTGTTGGATAACAAGGTACCCAAAACGCCGGCACGAAATATGAGCAGATTCACTTGCCGCCAGTCAACACGAACATCTATGAATAAGCTGTGTCTAGCTGTTTGTATGACGAATGGCTTCGTGTCAACCGGCTAAAGGGTGATTGAAGTTGCTAGTGCCGATGATTTCCGAGTGGATGACCGTTGGCAAGGGTTCTCATGGCAAGATATTGATGGAGGTTCCAGGGAGTGGCTTTGAGAAGTGCTTTACATGTATTGTGCTGAGCTGCTGTATACTGGCATGGCTTCACAAAGATATAGTATCTGTAGTATTGACTAGACCTCTGGAATGTCTGTTGCTTAGAATATATCTTAGCATGTCAACACCTCTAGTCAATTCAAACTTTCATATTACTCCCGTCTCAACAATCACAAAATCTCTGTCGTGACTAAGTTCGGGTTTCTGCCATTTAATAATTACAGGTGAATTATTTTCACTATGCCTTCTGATTGGAGGCTCTTTAATTTAACTTAAACGAATTCGGATAAAGGTCAAGCTTTCTACCAAAATCTTTCATGTTTTGACTTGACTTGACTAGCCATAACACTTGGTGTAAATATAGACTGAATTTTCTTTTCAATCTGGTTCGTTCTAGCCAGAGCAAATAAAGACTTCGATCGCTACCTCTCTGATCCAAACAAGATTGTAAGTTTGCTTTAACATGATTTGGCCAGCTTCCTGCCACCAGACTGTCGTTCACATAATTTGATTATCAAAAGAGTACAGGTCACTAAAGACATCAATACATTAGGCAGGTTTGTATCAATCATGCCCTCCAGCTCTAGACGTAGCACTGCAAGAGCTCGTAAGTACAAGTGAAGATCGTTATCGCCCCTTCCATTCTCACTTTTGCTTCGAGGTTCAATATGGCAAGCTTACTCAATATCAGACAACTCACACGGTATCTCGAATTCTCTCAGAGAATACAATAGCAGGCCCAATCCTGCGAATCATTCGCACATACAGACCATACCCGCAGAGAGCGTTCACGAGCATTTGGGGTCAGAGAACGAAATTAAATCACCAGATTTTATCATCAAAGGATCAGCCCAAGAAGAAATAGAAGATCAACTGGAATACGAAAAGAGACTAGAATCACTTCGAACAGATTATCCTGCGAATTCTACTACTGCAACACCGATTTCTCTCGATACTACGTACGCAGATATCATGGCTGCTCGACCATCAAGATCGCGTCGACGAAATGAAGCCTTGGATGAAGGACAAGATATGAAGCTGGGAGGACCAATGACTCTTGAATCACTCGGACCTTTCAAATATACCTTTAAAAAAAAGAAGAATTTGAAATCAAAATATTCAGTATCGACAATCAATGATGACGAAGCAACTGATGCCGATAATGGAGGTGCAGGTTTAAATGATGATGGAATAATTACGAACGAGGGGATAAATACGGATTTGGGTCACAGTGAAACTACTAGTGAAGTTGGAATGGATCCAGAATTGGTAGGAAGTGCAAGTTCATCACGTCCTATTTCACCTACATTGACCCCACAATTCAAACCATCTCTCGATGTCCCTCCTCCCAACCACACAACTTCACCAAAACAACGAAATTACTTAGAATTCACTTTTTCCGCTCCGGCACCAAAAAGAGTCATTGGGTATCTTGAGGAGAATACGAGAATTACCGAAGAAGAGTTGAAAGATTCTGATGATGCCTCGCGCGAGAACGATTTGGAAGACGACGGCAATATAGAAGATATCAATAACAATATCGTCCAACCAATTGTTACTGCTGAAGCTACGGCGACAAATAGTACCACCGCCACTCTTACTACGACGGACACCCCTTCAATTGATCCAATTCCTTCAACAGTGGTTATACAACCTCCAGGAGCCTCCGAGCACTCGTCTTTTTCGTATTCATCCACTGATAAAAGCAGAACGCAAACTCTCTGTACGATTGACAGTGGCATTGGTCTAAATTCCCCTTCTCTTGATCTTTTGAAGAGTGACAATTCCGATACACAATCAGTCAAGGATAAGAGCGACGCAGTTATGGCTCGCATTGCTTCATCAACAGGGTTAATGGTGAGAAGCTTGAGTGATATTACTACAGTTAACGATGGATTTGATTCGGTAGAATGGGATCCAGATCTTCCTGTTCGTTCAATTAACAACTCTCCTGAGCCATTATCAGTTGAGGTACAACCTGTGGCTTACACTACTGTCGGATCTCGTGTCAATCCTAATTTGCAACCTCAAATCTCTGCTCCGAACCGTATTCAACGTGAGGGTTCTATTCGCCGACCACAATTGGATCCAACTCATAATAGACAAGCAAATTATTATTCACACACCCGTGGTCCGCCACCTCCTTTGAATATGCAAAACTCCATGCACTATGCGCAACAACTCGGCCAGGCCCCTAATTCTTTCAACACTCCGCCAGCCACATCTGCAAGATCTACTCGCTCTCTGCGGGCCTCTCAGAGACTGTCCCAGTCAGAGCAAGAGAACCATACGCTTCTCAGACTTCAAGGGATGATCAATGCGAGAGTATCTAATAATCATTATCCTATCTCTCCAAATACACCGACTCCCGCTTTTCATCAAAATAACGTTTCGTCAATTTCGAATGAGGAGCAAGAAATGGCAAAAGGGGGTGATCTGCAAGGCCCCATATCAGGTCTGGAAAAGATGCAGACCTTACAGAGACTTGCGAAATTCCCGAATCCAATGCAAACTTCAGCTCTACGTCGATTGTCCGAGTTGCAAGCACCCAAAGCCGACAATACTGCAAAGTCAAATGAAGACATTGAAGTCGCGAACCAACGCTTAGAGTACCTCTTGCGTAACCCAAGAGACAACACGATGCCAGATAATGCACAAGCTGCCAAGAACGGAGAACTCGACCGGACTTATACATTCCCTCCACCAGGTATCTCCAATACGGCATACAATCCGCTCTACAACGCGTATTTGGGATCTAACAATCATTCAAGAGATTCTGCCAATCATCGGGGAGTACCCGGTTACCCACAACCATTGACTGCAGGCCCACCAAGACAGCGCTCATATGCTAACAATAGACAGAATAGTACTTATAGCGATGAGGCTTGGACACAAGACCAGATTGGAGCGAAACAAAACTCACACACAAGCACCGAGCCTATTTCGCCATGGCAAGAATCAAAAGTTCTTAAAGAGCAGTATAGTGCTCAGGCACCAGCACAAGCTCCTTCTACACGGGCAACAGATACAATTTCTATGCAACAAGCCCGTCAGTATTATCCCACGGGTTTCCCAGTGACATGACCGGGAGATTCACTCGTTTGTCAATTGATGTACAAAAAGAAATGGGACTTCTCGAGGATGAAGAGGCTCGCGAGGAAGCTCGAGCAAGAAAACAAAAGGAGAAGGATGAATGGTTCTATAGTGGCCAGAAACGATGGAACATGACAGTTCAGGAGCATATCGCAGAAATTGAGATCCATACCAATCCTTTCGGGCCTATCGGTCCTCCCATGAAGAAAATTTTGCCTTCCGACAATAGACCTCTTCCCGGTATCACTATCTCAAGAATGGAAAAGAAGACCATCCCCGAAGTAATCGCTCCACTAATAGATGGAACTCTTGGCAATTTATTCGCCATCAAAGCTCAACAAGAAGATGGCAATTTCACGACACCATTCATTAGATACGCCAAAAGTCCAGAATGGCACATTGATACAAGTGCAAGAGGCAATGATTCTTTCTTCGAAGAAAGATGGGGAGTCTCAATCGATGCCCCAGCGCCTCATAACGATCGAGTTCAGCAATACTAGATTCCCACCGCTTATCTGATACGCAGACAACGATAGTCGAGAGGGCCTCTCAATGCCTATAAAATTAGCTGTCGATACCTGTGTCTTATCAAAGCGACTCGATCAACGAATCAAGACTTAATCGTTCCCAAGAGCGATGTATCAAATGGCGTTCCAGATTGTCCTTCTCGAAGCTATTCAACAGAAGTATGGCTCTCCACCATCATGGGGTCTTTTTTGCGAGAAAGGCCCGTCTAATAATTGCTTGTACACTTTCAACCTTTTTCTTTGAGTATGATGGAAATCCTATTTCCCCGACATGATCGATTGCTTTTTATTACTGTTTCCGCGTCTTTTCTTTGGCTCTTGCAATAATTCAGAAAATGAGAAATAAACATTTGTAGGATTGATAAAGATGTAACCTTTTAAGGGGAGGATGATGGAATTCCAAATTCTGGCTTTACTGACCGCATTTCTCAAGAAGGTTTTGGCTTTCAGCTTACTTCAATGGGTGGTAATATGGATTAGCCCAGAAAAAGAAATTTGAGAAGGTTTTTCAGTTCTGGAAGAAGATGGTGGCTCTTATTATTGTTTTGCTTGGTGCTATTGTGGTTTTGGCTTGCCGTTGTTCCAATTTTGCTTGAAGCTGGAGTGAAAGATCCGTTCACATATCATCATCATGATTGCATCTAATTTGGCTTTGCAATGCAATTGTGGTGTCTGATGGGTCTTTGTATACTTTTGAAAAAGGAAAAATATACGTGTGAACAGGCTTTCAATAGTTGCTAGTTCGTGTGAGAGGCATCCTGTTGTATGAGTAGTTGATCGCGCTCGCTAATTGCTAATCTTAATCTGGTAACAGTCCTTTTTGTTTGGTGATTTGCTGTGTGATATCTATCAATATCTAGATACCCTTATTCACCGATGTCTGATATGAGTTCCATTGCATGCTGGTTTGAGGGTTTTGAGAATTCGTTATTTTTACTCACACTCTTTCCTTCTATTAAGCTACAAGCACACAGGTATATGAATTCTGGAGATGTGGTAAAGAGTAAATAGTACAGTTCGAAGATGGCTTGAAGTGGAAGTAAAATTTCTTTATAACCAGAATATAGAGATTACTGCATTATGGTCTAGTCCTCGCTATCCTTGCTCAAATATTGGACTTTAAGGCCTGTGGGCGACGTGCTCTGTTGTTGATATTTGTATCTGTCATCCATTCTGGCAACCATCTCATGTCATCTTATTTCATCTAATTTTGTATCACCACGCTTTCCCAAACCCAAACACCGCGCATGACCAAAGTCGAGATTTCGATTCCGATTCCAAGACAAAAAACCCATCCATCCATCCGTCACATTAGCTTTATTTAAGCATTCATCAATCATTAAAAAGTTAATCATAAGCCATCATCCAATCATCCAGTCCATCCCCGAATCACCCCATAATCATGACATTATCAACCCCCCTTCTTCCCAATCGCTCAATTCCCAAGCCTTCTTTTCCGCCTCTTCCCATCCCAACCCCAAATGCGTATTTCGCTCCTTCTCCCTTGAAATGTGAGGATGTACTCACGAGTCTCGTCACCAAATCTATCTTAGATCGAGGAGCACTAAATGCCGCATCATCTAGAATATTACTTGAATGAACAAAACTGATTATTTCAGCTAGACAATCGATTGGATGAGGTAAATGCATAGTGCGTCTCTTAGGGATCGTGAGCAGAAGAGTCAGGAAATAAATAATGAGGAACGCGAGGCAGATGTAGAAAGAAGGAAGATTGGGAAGCATGCGGACTTCCCCCGAAATAATGGTCAAGGGGAAGAATAATCCTCCTGCGACAATGGGAAGAATGATGAAGAGCAAGGAGACGAGAGAAAACCAGGCGACTCGTAGATGACCATTTCCAAGCGCGGTAATGGTGCTTTGGATGGGGAGAGAAGCGGGGTAGTCGAGCAGGAGGGATTTTACTGCTGGGGAGCCATCGGGTTTGGAGAGTTCGGCCCAGGGTTGCAGTTTGCGGAAGGCCATGTCGATGGGTTGGAAAAGGAGGTAGAGAATCATTCCGAGGAGCGATGGAATGAAACTATACAGGAAGTTTGCAGCGGAATATCCGGATCCGTTGGGATCTGCAACAACTAAGGGTTTGAATCCATGGCGTATGGCTGTAGAAGGAAGGAATGATACGATGATCAAAGCCAGCAAGAGGAAAAAGGCCGTAACAGACCACAGAACCACGAAGGTATCGCGCAGAAACCATGGAATGTATCGGAATCGAGTAGCGGTATCATGGAGAGATGAACGATTTTCTTCCAAATCAGGGATACCACTACCGCTGCTTACTTTTCTCTCCGCTTTACCGCCTTCTAAAGTGTATCGTCTTATAGGCGCGCCTGTTTCTCCAATTGAATAGAAAATTCCTTGTGTCGGACTAGGGGTTCTCCAATATCCCAATCGGTCGCTTCGATCGGCTAATTTGACTCTGATCTCCTGTTTAGATTTCATGGTCTCGGTACCTGGATAATCTCTAAGACTATTGCTTCGTGGTAACAGCGCGATCAAATCAGCCAATGATCGAGGATCCCACAACAATCCAGTTGTTCGACGGAAGAAAAAAGCTCCGATAAGAACTAATCCCATACACATCGAAATATAGATCGCAACCAAAGTCCACGCAATCCCTTGCACAGCAGTCCATTTCCAATTTCCCTCTACCAACACTACAGAAAACAAACATCCCTGAAGCGGAATCGTGAATACAGATAACCATAAACATGATACCCCGATATCAATCATCATAGGACCATCCCATCTCGGCCACAACATATGGCGGGGAAAAGCTTCCAAAAATAATGCGTTGGTGCGGGGCTCCGCATCTTCCATCGCCATTAGTACGTATGGCATTATTCTCGTAATGGCACCCATTACGTATTGAACATATAAAAATATAAACGCTCCGAGAATCTGTGGTAAAAATCCAAATATAAAATATCGACCCCCATCAACGCCGGTAGTCCATGGATAAAGTCCATCGTGATAATTCGAATAGATCGCGCAAAACATAATCGCTGCAGTCATCATAAGACATAGTGTAATAATCGCTAGTAAAGAAAAAAGTCGTAAGATCGTGGGAAGAAATTTGAGCTCGGGGTATCGTTTGGTGTTTGGGGGAGGTTGTGTGGGAATGAATATTTCGGAATCTTTTTCATTGGGAGGTGAGCGGGCTGGTTGAGGTGCTCTGATGGGTATTCTTCCCTCGTCTTCGGTAGGCGGTGTTGAGAGGGGTGGCGTGGCGTTGAATCCAAATAATCGTCCAGGTCCAGGTGTAGAACGATGTTTCCTGATGAGCGCGAGTTCTGCCCGTGTTGGTCGTTGAGGAATATAACGGTTTTCATCTGGAATGATTCTTTCCACTGGATACTCCTCTGAGCTTTGCGAATTGGTTGGTTGTTGGCCTTGGTCGAGTTGTTGAGTTCTTCTTGCTTCTCGTCTCGCTTCCTCATCCCTCGTCAATTGATCGATCGCGAATCGGATAAATGGCGTATCGTCATTGTTGGGTGTCGGCGGACTCTCATCCTCCACCTGATCCGACATTCTTCTCGGTCTCCCTGAGGCTTCGGCTTCCATACCTCTGATCTGCTGTTCGTCAAATCGAACCATATTGCTAATGTATCTCTGATGAGAAGCTTCCCAGTCACTTGCTCTGATCAGAGGAGCCTCTATCGAATCTTCCAAGTCCTCGTGGCTTTGGTCTGGAGTACGGAAACGAGATGGAGGGGTTGCCCACCGTGTCACCGTAGCTGCATCAGAATTGCTCGATGGAAGTGACGGTGTGTTTTCTCCGTAGCGCACATCCACACCGCTCAGTAATTCTGACGTTTGCACTTGTTGCAACTGTGGTCGTGAGTCTATTTACAGGGTCTACGTCAGTAAAAACAAAACAGATTGAATCCAAAAAAGCAAAATACACAGAAGGTAGGAGAATAGGTGAATAGGTAAAAACTTACGCTTCACTCTTCGCAAATCCAAAGATCCAAGATTCATCATCCTGTAAGCAACTCCGCCAATAATAACATAAGCAATTAATTAAGGAATGCATCTTCAAGGTTCGTGCGCGGAGCAAGTATCTATTAGTTAAATGAGTGGCAGGTCGAAAAGATGGCTGGATGTTGGTGGTAGGTCGCCGCCGTGAAGGGTTTTTCGCGCAGGGTCTGATCAAAAAGGGTGGCTGGGAAAGCGTCTAATTCGCCTCATTAATGAACTACATCATGCTCTGGTGCTTCAGGATACCTGTAAAACACGTTTCGTGACGGGCGATAGTGATTTCCAAGGTAATTTCCAGCCTTCTTTTTCGTTTTGATCAATTATATGGAGATACGTTGCACTGGCACTACTGTACCATAACGGGGCCAATTGGGCATTAGCAGACGTCAGATGGGATTCGTTGTCTCGCTTCCAGCAAGGGGACCTGCAGGTCGTTCATCTTGTTCTTTGGTCATTTTTTAGCCTTGAGATTTATGATTTGGTCCTGTAGTTCAAACACCAGAAACATGCACTAGTATTCGATTTCAAGCCTCTGAGTGGAACTCATCATTACGATGTATATATCAGTAACAAATTTCCGATCGATGTTTTGGGCTTATCGGAAAGCGTTTATCGTCAATACCTTATCGTGTTAGCAAATATATTAATCAAGAGTTCTCGGCTCTAAAGTCCTTTTTCAGGAACAACCGTTTCCCCCCAACCACAACCATTTATTTCGTGTAAGGATTCACAAACTCCACTGCAGAAGTCCGATTGGTTTATTGTTACCCCTCATAATTTTACAAGTTCTAGCGGGCACATTCAAATATCCATTATGGTACCCCTCCTGTTCCTGGTCAACCTTAACCTCTCCACTCTCCTCTGATCTCCGTTGGGGTGTATCCCTAAGGTTATGTGCTAGAAGCCTCTGAATTTTGATTTACTTCTTAATCGCCGGTATCTGCCCCTGTGCTTTGCACATAAACCCACTAAACACA